AAACAAGAGTGTTTTTCATTACCAGTGTAGTATCAACAATTTTTTTGTATCGAGTATTTTCCCTAATATCAAAATCGAAGGGTTGGGGTTAGAATTTACCGTGGTAACACAAATTTCCAAATCACCAGTCTTTAAATCATCAAGTGCTCCTGTATGGTAAATGACAGAGTGGTGTTATCAAGGCCATGTCTCCGGAAAGTGGACACAGCTGCTGCTTATGACAATAAAAACACTATTTGGACAATGAGATGGAACTGACAGTTAGCCGTCTCATGCAAGCCAAACAGCACCTAGGTTAATAAAAAAAAGCTCCATCAGCAACTAACCCAAACCTCTTCAATGCATTGAATACATAACAGACATTACTCTGCTTTTCTCTCAAGTAAGAAATTTCCTTTGTGGGAACTAAATTGAAAGCCAGATAATTGGGATACACCGATTCTCCACTGCCAAGCTGACCCTTTTCCTTGGAACCACAGAGCTGCCAACAAGCAAACACTGTCCCTCAAACTAACAGAGTGACCACATGTGAAAAGAGGCTGTAAACATGCAATAACAAACTGGCAAGTCTGTGAAAGCTGCAACACATCTGGGTTTAGAGGGTGCTGCCCAAAACCAGCCCTGAACTCCACTGAGGACATACAAGTGCTGCTAAAAATAAGATGTGTTATCAAGGCCACAGAGACAGACAAACATTGAAAATGTGATTTATGTTCTTAATAGTGAACATAGACTTTGTCAAGAGTCTTTCAGCATCACTCAGAAAAGAATGTGTACATATTTAGCAGAGCAAAACGAGCTCGGGGCTGCAGCGCTGCCTCCAGTCCTGCACAGGAATTCACAGTGCATTCTTCTGCATCAGCCCGACCACAGAGACACCGACTATTGTGTCCACACTGCTGAGATATATTTACCTCTGTGCTATTGTGAGAGTGTGTCTGAGGCTGCCATCTCCTGTAATAGAGTGACATACAGAGAAGAGGGACAGGGAAGAGGAATAGAAAGAACAAATTTAGAAGAAAAGGAAGTTGATATTAAACAGTATGTCTCTATAGCAGCCAGCACAAAAAATGTCCCAGTGGAAAACAGGAATGCTAAGGAGCAAAGGATGAGAAAATCTCATCTACAATCTGAGACAGGAATGCTAAGAATAACATCCAAAAGTCAGTTTGGGCCCATTTCCTGTTTTCAAGTATTAAATAATCACATTAAACCTATATATCCAAATAATATAACCTGTAACTGCTACAGTGCAAATTAAAGTTAAACATCTTGGGGATGCAGATTTTGTCTCTAAAGATCAACCTCGGTCATTAAAAACTTAATATGTCTAAACAACATGTTTATACATTCAGCTAAAAGTCAACTGCATATAGATAACACTGACTGGAAAATATTACAAAAATATTTCAAATATTTTGGAAAGTATGATATTTTTAATCTTTCAGTTTGATTTCTAAACTGCAAAATCACTAAAGACTTGGACTCAAAACAAAGACATAAGAATTACTCCAAATAGATGTAAGTTTTTGTTAGTCATGGGGTTTCCCTTTAAAAGGGGTTCAAGGTTGGCTATATATTATCTAAAATTGTTGTTTTATTTGCTAAATAAAAAGGAAAAATGTTAAAGTGTCAAAAGGATTTGAAAAAAATTAAGTTCCAGTGTAATGATTCAAGAAGTGATATTTCTACATTTTGTGGTTCCTTTTACTGTTTGAGAATACAAGACATGTTAGTGTTGCTAAACCTTATCCTTCATTTTACAGTTTGTCTTTGTGGGTTACATTATTTTAGAGACTGAATTATGAACAAATACAACCTACAAAACAACATCACATGAATTTCAGAACATGTTTGTAAAGGTCTAAACTACAAGATTTTTCTTGTCATTTGCTTTTTGCAAATGAAATTTTATTATCTAAATAATTTTATTTTGCAATTTGATAATTGTGCCAACTCAAATTGCACTTTTGATTCAATTGCAATATATTGAGCTGCCCTACTATGCATGCCTTAAATATCATGATGTGTGTATGTTGACATCTTAAACGGACTGTAAACACAGGGCAGATCAGCATAGCCCCTATTACTACGGCATGCCATACAGAACTACCTACACAGTTCAGCCGAGGGCCCAAGGCTTACAACAAAGTCATTCACATGTGAGCAGCTGTTTCTGAACTCAAAGGAAAAATACACTGGTTTGTCTATTGAATGAGGTCAATCACACCGATTTGAAAGATCATGTAAAAATGCACCATCAAGTTGAGGAGGAGATAAAGGCGCACTGTCACATTTCTGATGGGAATCTTGGCTTGTTTTCAGGGAAATATTATTGCTTTGCCTGGAATGGTTCACCATATTGCATTAAGCTTATCCACCTTGATTTTATAAGTAGTACATAGGTTCGTTCACAGGCTGTGGTTGAAAGCTTATCAAAATTTAGATATAGACTTCTGTACCTTTAAAATTACTTTAAAATACATGCTAACTACACAATTTGATGTCCGTAACCATCCCTCCAGTTCCTTGTATATTCTATTAGGATAACAATGTCAGGAAAAGTAATCAGAAGAACACTGATCAGAAAGAAATCAGATGATTTGACGGTTTTATTTTAATAATTTTTTCTCCCCAAAATGCTTTGAGTATGCAGCTGCAGCCAGTGCCATCGTACTGTCGAGCTTATGTCTCAGAAATGCTTTCATCCAATCAGTTTAGCAATCCAACAATATTACCAGTGCCTTTATTTCAGACTATATGACAAACTTCTGGAGATTGTCGCCTTTAAAAGACAAATCATTTCTGGTGCTAGGGGAGTGGCAGCACATGTTGCCTTTACCAAATATGGCAGAGTGAAAACACTACAGGCCAATTTCCAGAAGCCTGGAATGAAAAGCAGGTCTCCTTAAGTGGAGAGCGTGTGGACCTGACATGAGCCACCGACACCTCCTTGTGCTGTGAAGAACAGAGCAGGGGGCTGGTACCAAGATATTTAAGGCTGATTTCACATCCTCTGTGTGAGTCCCATTAGAGATGCACCAATTCAGCTATTTCACGTACAAGTCAAAACACAGTCAACTATTACAAAATGGATCTAATTCTATTATGCAACTGTTATCCATCCTGCACATGATGTACTGAACAGCTTTGCATGGATTAAGGTTCAAACATTATGAGACATTCTAATATATGTAATTACAATTAAGAGGTGACTAAATCTGCTAAGTTCACACTACACTGCAATTGGTTAAATTCACCGTTCACTCATTCAGAACATTATCAAGGATGACCAATAAGAGGAGTTGTTGGGGGAAAGTACCAGTGTTTATGCATAGATCTCAATATAGCAATACCACAAAAATATATATTATCACAGAAATTAGATCAAGATTGAAAAAGACTTACAGTAAACTTTAGCATGGTTGAAAACAGAAACTTATTTAGTATGTAAATATTTCCTTTACCTTTAAATATTATATTTTATTATTATTATTATTATATTTTTCTGGATGATATTCCAAAGTCGCTAAAATGTCTCATACTGTTGTATGTATGATCAATTCACAAAATAGTTTTCACAAAAGGAGAAAAGGAAAACCATAACCCAGACTGCATCCTGTGATATAAGAACAAATGCCAAGAATATCCTTATGCCTTCTCAGCAGAGCAGTCTTTCTGAAACAGGAAGTGACCAGCACCTTCTGCACTGACACTGCGATGTCACCATCTGGGTTAGGGGCAGGGCTCGTAAAACTAGAAGTCAGTTCAAGACTTTTTACACAAGTTTTACAGAGTTATCGAACAGTAAAACAAACAAACAAAAAAATATTTGGTCAGTACTAAGTGCATAATTGTGACATTACAGCATGCAAGTGTAGATCCATGTATTACAGCCTAAGTTGTGACTAAAAGAACATCAATTTGCAATATTGTTATATTTTGGTATCGACTGAAAGATATGAACAAGGTAAGGTCACAGCCTACTGCTTGTGCCTGTTTTAGCCTCAGTTGATGATTGTCCAGTGCAGATAAACAAGAAAAAACAGAATTGGGCCACTGAGTTGTTCACATTTGTTGTACAGTTTACATAGTCACAGTTATGCGCATACATATGTTACACTAGTGGGCCAAAGGAATAGACTACACTCTACAGACGCCTCTCATGTGCCAGCATGCAGGGCTAGGCCAGAGCAACAAGCCCTTCAACAGTGAGCGCAGGCTGCTATTAGGCAAGTCCCCTTTGTACCAAGCCGACTCGAACTTTAACATGTTTTAAATGACTAACCTTCATTTTTTGGCGTATTGCTGACAACTCTTTATACTCTACTACTTTACTAAAGTAAATGTTCTCCTCCGTGCAAATTCATATAGCACATAGCACAGCGCCGCCGTGTGAAAACTTACACCCGGAGGCTAGGCTTTTTTCCTTGTTCGTGAACGCTGCACAACACACCCATCATGCATGCATACTTCCAGTTGTCACACCAGAAACAAAAGACTGATGTGGGGTCAAATGTTGTCAACCTGATGGAGCTGTAGCTGGCCCATATGTGCTGGTCGTGAACTACCCAAAGCTACAAACTTTAAAAGCACAACAGCGCGTTCCCTAACCTTTTCAAAACAATCAAATCCCACCATATCCTTAAATTATCGTCTTATTGAAGCCAGGGCCATTCATTTTTTCGTTGTATTTTTGACGTTGCAGCCCTCCACCGTACAGTACAATTGTATATGCGTGTAGGTATGTAGGGCAAAGGCTTATAGCTATCTGAGTGACGCCTGGGGAAGAACAAAACATCAGCCCAAAAGTATGAGAATCATAAACAGCGAAACACAATCACATGATTAAATCATGTTTAAATCATGTTGTCATTATCAGAGGCTCGGTGTGCGGACTTGACAGGGTTTTCTGTCCTCCACATAAGACTATGGTGACGTCAAGGACTTCAAGAATGGTGGAAAGTTTTCAAAGTTCAAAATCTGAAGATGTTTCTGACCTGAACAGATACGGTGCTTCCCGCTGCCGTGCCCCGGGTTCTATGATCCAAATGTGGTGGTGGTATTTGAATTTCCCCGAGATTATAGCGTTTATAGCGAGGGGAACAGCCAGATAGCGATTTTTTTTCTCGAGTTCCCCTCCTTATCCGCTCTCAGCAGTGGTGGTGCTAACTCCACCCAGGCGGGCTGTGTCGCTGTACCGCTGTGCTGTAGTCCGGCGGGGCGGTGCTCTCTGTGCGTGGTGGCGGTGGAGGTGGAGAGGACCATTTCACGGCTGCACGGGGCTGCACAAGGCCCGCAGGACGGCTGCTACCTAGGTCCACATTGTTCCAAGGTAGTCTAGCCCCAATAGTCAAGCTCCATCTTTTATTTTATGACACGATAAAACACAAAATTAAAAACTATTTAATTCAGTAAATCTTTTTTAATTACTGCAACCCTGTTGACCAGTACAAACATGTAAAATCATTAGAATATTTACTCTCAAAACAAAAATATAACGTTAAATCTGGCCTTCATAAAGTCATTTTAGCGCCGTCTTGTGGTGGCTCTAGACAAATTAGGCACCATTTTTTATCTTCTGGCTTAGTAAAAAAAAAAAAAGTCAATTAAAAGTAAAAAAAAAAAGTCAATTAAAGTGCGTATGACAGGTTTTTATGATTCTCTATATACATTTAACTTAATTTGGTGGGATACCTGTTGTCCATATAAATTATAGTTTTACACCAATCATGAAGCACTTTGTGAAGAAAAGTTGAAAAATGTGTTAAAAATGACAAAGTATTCTATTTTAGACCTACATATTGATGACATCGCACTGTTAAAAATTTCGGCACACTTTACCCACATAAAACATTTTTTTTCTGACACTTTAAACGTGAATTCAACAAAATAAATGTGTTTTCTTATGTCATTTGTCAAATAATAATTTTGGTGTACATTTGAGGAGTTTTGGCCCAATGTACCACATGGTTGCTAGGTAACAGTTATGACTTCCCTAGACTTTCCTAGTGTGATGCTATGATTTCCAACCAGGAAGTAAAATTTTAACTAAAAAAATGCCAAACCAGGGGGAAAATGTAAAATTCTTTTAAGTAAAATCTTAAATATAATGATCTTAACTGTGTTTTAGTTAAATGAGTAGTAGTAGTTCAACCTGTCATAGACACTTTTAAGTGTTTGAGTGCACCTTAAGTCCATCAAGACAGTATTGTCGCATTTACTTACTTTACTTCATAAAAATAAATAATGGCAAGCGGAGAAGTGTCAAGGGACATGATTGAATATATATTTATTCAAGTATCTACATTACTTCCCCATTCATCAGCACATCTTAAATAATCTTACAGTTTCGATACATTTCTACAAAATTTGGCCTCTAGTAGTTATAGTGACATCTGGTATGAGTAACCGCAGTCTACTAGAAATAAACTGGGTTTATAATTAAGAATATTTTGCAGATGTTTATATTTTAATAAGGCTTTTTGATAACAGTCCTTTTAGTTCTTTAGTTTTCCTTTAGATATCTATTATTAAGACCAGTGAGACACCAACACCAAGTCAATGCTGCCAGTTAAAAACTAGTTTCTGAGTGCAACCACTGACTTAAAACTAAACATGAAAATGAAACACAAAAATAAAAATTATATAAAACTATGAATACATTACATGACAATGCAGGTTTCAAAGCCCTTGCTTATTAAGGCTTAGTCATAGATGACACATGATTGCATCTTTAATGTCAATATAGTTAAAAATGTAGGCGGGAACCTCACCCAGCTCACTTATGAGACATGGTAACACAACTCAAGTTTCTTTACAAATAGAATCTGAATGTTGTACACTTTTTCCTAAAAAGTTAAATTATTTGGTGTCTCCCATATTTACTTAAGCATTTCAAGTTTTTCATCATTATAAAATATTGTGATTATAATACACTAAAACATAATTACAATGCTTCTTGGAAATGTACATCATAAAACTGTTCCAAAACAACAAACGTTTTAGTGTATGAAAAAAACAAAACTGTACAAGTTGATCATAAACCCATTGATCATTCAATTCTTTCAAAGCACACAATATTTGTTTTAAAAACAAATCAGACAAATAGTGTAGTGAAGCACATGAATTAAGTCAGAAATTAAAAGCTCACCAGAACCTGTAGCCTCTAGTATAAACTAAATCCAACTGACTGCATGAAGTAAGCAACATATGACTGGTACAGCTGAGGGTCACTTTCTGCAGGGTCAAAATGAATCAGACAGAGTGCATACACACGCACACGCACACACTACAGGTTGAGAGAGCATGACAATGAGCCTGCAGTGTCCTGAATTTAAACTGAGGTATAGAGAATGAGCTCTGCTTCAAAGTGAGAGCTTAGGCTGAGTTTCCATGGAAGCAGCATCAGCTCAATGTTATTGCATATATATATAGTGCCTCTCCTATTCTCTCCATCTAAGGGGATCCTGAAAAGTTAACTTTGTATTTGCAGCCCATAGAAAGTTTCACATCGAAATGATGAAAGGTCCTTATGACCGCAATTATGGTAATGGCAATAATTATTTGTCCAGGCAGTTCAGTTTTATAAATGATCTGGAAGTGGTTGGACTTTTAATACCTCTCAGAGGTAAATGGGTCTTCTAACTGCTCACTGCAGCTTCAGGCGCTGCAGCAGGGATACGAGGCATTTTCTTGACTGGACTTGGAATATGCTGTAAAATAAATAAATAAATAATGCATCAAAATACAGTCTGTTCAATATATGAGAAAACAATTGAAGTGTGGTTCAATTTAGTTACATAAATGTGCAGTATTTGCTGTGTTACCTCTGTACTTGAGCAAACAATCTCAGGCTCTGCTTGCACCTCACATTCTATAGGTCGGCGAGCATATTCCCTTCTGTGTTTCTCATCCACCCGTGTTAGGTACCATGTTCCAGGAAAAAGATCATCCACTGGACCACGAGGAACATAGCTAGCTGTAAAAAGTTATAACAACAGTCAGTGTTTAGCTATTACATTCAAACATCTACAAGCCAGCAATGTACACACCTAAATGATGGGTCTCCTCTCTCAATTTCATATTTTCTGAAAAGACAGCTGGGGAAACCTTCTTCCGTGAGTTAAGTCTAACCTGCAGGTCACTTAGACTGCTGACAAGTTTGTCCAAACTGGATCCTGCAAATTTAAGAAATTAATCATTAAGTAATTAGGGAAACAACAAAACCAAGTGACAAAAAAACTTACCAGGGGTGTGGTCCTGAGTGATGCGGAGAGAGTACAGAGTAGCTGCAAATCCTGATCCATATGAGAAAACTCCAATTCTTTGACCTGCTAACTGCGCAGTAGTTTTCCTACAAAACAAACTTGACATGAGCACTTCAACATGTGACATTCTTTATTCAACTGATGGTTAAAAGTGTTCAATAATATTCTTAAATTCTGTGTCCAGTTAGACTTAATCGACACAAAAGTAGAGGAAAATGTTAAATTAAAACAAAGCAGCACTGAACTTACTGTGCAATAAGAGATGCTAGACAACCGTAGACTGATGGGGTGTACATGTTCCCATTCTGATTTGAAATGAGTAGAGAGGGCTTAGTCTTTCTCTCAAACAGCTCAGCACTGGCCTTCAAGAAGGCCTTCTCCACATCTCGATCAAAGTAGGTCTCTTCAGGCTTGACATCTCTGAAATTTGAGTGTTAAATTGTAAATGAATCACCACAATATCACTATAAAATACTACACAATCTCTGATTACCTGAAGGCCTCTAGGCCAGTGAAAGGTCCCACCTCTGTGTTTGGGTTTGGGTGGCTCAGGAAGTCATTAAGCATCAACCTTGCCAGTGACTTCTGAACAAGTTTGCAGTAAGGAGAGTGGAATACTAGATAACCAAAGTCCTCTAGGTTGAAATGCTTTTCTGAACCCTCTGTAAAGTTAAATGTATCAAAGTATATCAATACAGGCCTGTTAACTCAAATAGACACGTCATCAAAAATGGCAGACATTCTGAAAACAGCATTACCCACATTTGTCAATATTTAAATTTCTTTTCAACACATGCCTTTCTAAAGGCCACTGAGTGTGCCAAAGGGTTGACAAATGGTGATCTTAACATTGTGCCAATGGATTTTATTAAAAGACATCAGACCATAGTCACTGAACTTGGGTAAACGTCTTAGCTGAGGAAGCCATGCACAAATCCTGTAGGTGACATTCTAAACCCTCTTATCTAATTAAACCATTATCTGTCCAGGCGCTCCTTAGCGTCTTACTTCAAACTGTAATAACATTGTTGCTGTTATCGTGCAAAACTAAATTCATCGGTTAAGCAGCCAATATAGTTGATCTATTTTTCATCCATCCCCTTCATATAAAAATAAAAACTTACCCCTTTGCCATTGTGCATGGATCTTGTTACGGTACACAGAATAACAACGGTCCAAAGCATTCAGGTAACATTCTATAGAAAGTTTTCCATCAACCACTGGATACTCTGAAAGCATGTCTGGTTTATAGAAGTCATACGCATGCTGCATATGGGTTCCTCGAAGACCTTAGGACAAAAATGTAATGAACAACAAGGAAAACACCAGTTTCATGAACATAACAAACAAAAAGTAATTTAGAAGAAGGCACTAAAAGTTAGCTCATTATTTACAATAAACCAACCTCTTTCAAAGGCTAAGGAGCATTTGGCCCCACAAGCATCGCCACAGCACCCGCCCCTCCTGTAGGTCGTGCACTTCCAGTGGCATAGACAGCAATATCTCCAGCTACAACTAAAGCATAACGCCCTAGAAAAAAGAATATTTTGTAAAACTGTAACCAGTTAAATCGATCTTTGTAATACAAGAAAAGAAGGTAACTCACCATCCCATGAACTGGACTCCACCCAGTTGACAGCATTAAAGAGTGCTGCTGTGCCACCATAGCAGGCATTGGTTGTATCAATACCCTCAACATCAGTGTTCCCAGAGTCCTCAAAGAGCTGCATAAGGACAGTCTTCACAGACTTGGACTTGTCAATAATTGTCTCTGTCCCTACCTCCAGTCTCCCCACACTATCATAGGACAGACCATTCCTTTCCATTAGCCTCTGTACCACAGTCAAGCACAGAGAGTTGATGTCCTCTCGATCGGAGCAGAAACCCATGCCAGCTTGGCCCAGGCCCACTGTGTATTTTCCAGCTGAAACTCCATCATACTGCTCAAGTTCAGTCTGGTCTACATATTGTGAAGGGATGTACAACTCCATGGCAATGATACCAACATCTTTGGGCCATGGTCCCAAACAGCTAGTTGAGGCTGATCCAGGCATTCTATAACAATAAAGATATATTTTAACACATTATCCATAGAGATTATATGAATCTTGAACTTGTTGGATACCAGAATACGCTTTAACACTGCTCACTGATAAAATGAATGTCCATTTAGACAATGCACACAATGTGTTCAATAAAAACATGACAATAACAAGGCGTTTTGCTTATAGCCGAGTAGAGCTATGCCAAACCAGTGGATGTAGATTGGAGTCGGACATATGTTTGGAGCACAAGTAGGTGAAAGGGCAACTGGATTTTCCCCGACTTAAGAGAATGTTAAAGTAATTTGAACAAAGCAGGAAAACAAAAAATCCAAAAATACTTCAGGCAATATATTTAATAACTCCAGAACACCACTGCAACAAATAAAAAATATATTAATGGGATAAATTCTAACACTCATTGCTACCCGGACTAAATATATGGCGGAACTGTTTCCTATAACTACATATAATGGTTATAAACGTGTAAGAGAACAACGGATGGATCACTTCATTTTTCCTTTTAAAGGCCCAACATAAACTAAACTGTAACGTTACTGTAATGTTTTCTTTTTTTAACATACGTACAATTGTGTTTGTAAAAGCGACAGACACACTTGCCTTGGCGAATTAGCAACGATAGATCACCTTTCTTTAAAAAAATGGAAGCAGGGAACAACCACGTACCTCTAAATTTGTTGTCGAGGCAGGTAAAAGAATGCACCAGTCCAGTGTTTTAGCTATATTTCCCCGTTCGTCCTTGTAACCCCTGGCAGACAAGTATTTATGTGTGACGAGCAAACGGTGGAGCCCACAGCCTGGATACGCTGCGTGGCTCTCCCTCCAATCACAGGACACTTCCTCTCGTCTACATACGGCCTTACGCATGGTGCACGTACTTGGCCAATCAGAAACAAGAAAACACAACCACGCGCGGGATCCTCGCTTAATGACCAATGAGGAGCCATGTGCCATGTCTGGTGAGAGAGACAGGACCAATCTCACGATTGTAATCAGTTCTGGCGCGGGGGTAGTGCAGTGGAAGACTGGGATAGTGTAACAAGAGACCATTTGGACTATTTTACCTGTTACATGTGTTCTAAATTGAATGTATTCATAAGCCATAAGCTCCCTGTGCTCAGTGAAGTAAGTTGCAACTAACAGATGACACCCAGACCAATCAAACCTTACCTTAACCAGACAGACCAGCATTCACTCAAACTTACAAAGAGAAATTTAGAGAAATTATTGAAACAGAGAACATACCGCCACACTGATCACAACGTTTTATTTTTAAGGCTGGCAGTGTCAGTCTGCCAGGAGGTTCGGTTGTTTGCATATTTGACAAAGTGACAACCAATTCAACTTTGTTTTGAGATAACAAGAATTAGTTTTTGAAAATGGGAAAAAAAAGATAGAGTATTAAACATACCAATAAAGGTGGACCAGAGTTTTGGTCTGAGATAACTGTCCAGCACAGGATATGAACACGAAATAAATAATGTAAACCAAAAAGCAGAATATGTATCTTAACAGAAGATATCTTTACATACATATCGTTAATAAAAATGGCAAAGACTTTGTTGATATGCGATTAAGGCATTTATGTAAAAGTTTATATTTACACCACTATAATATTAACACTGAAAAAACATGGAAGTTAATTAAGAAATATAATACATGTAAACAGAGACGTTAAGAACAAAAACATCTTCTCACCACTGCTTTCATTTGCATAGTTTCATCCACTAATTGCAACAATCATAGTCCGTATGGCAGTGCTTTTCTCTTACTAATTTCTAAAATTTCTATCCCACATTAACAGTAGCTGACTCCCAGCCTGAGGTTCCAACTCCTACAACAAAAACACACATTGATTAATTGAGCATGTACATTTTTTGTCATATGGAAAAATTACACTAATTTGTACTCACTTGTCCATCTCTGCTAATTTGGACTTTCTTGTTGTCATTCCAGGGATTGAGGATGTGCTGAGTAGACTGAAAAGACAGGCTCTCTTTGTGAATCCATTCCACTCTGAAGACACCACCAAGTCCCTTAAGCCCCCAGTCCTGGCAACCGTCTCTGCTAATGACTGATGTCATGCGAGCATAGCCCTATAAAAGTGTAAATGTGTGAGCAGGTAGATCTGTGAAAGATGCCACACACATGCTGTAAGTTTACTTGCCTGAAAGTGTCTAGAGCCTTGAACAGAAAATATTAGAATGATTAACTTATGTTCCAAGTATGCTTTGGACAGTTTGGACTCATTGCATGGGGTGGTGGACCATATTCCCTTCTGCTGAGATATCTCTATATTTCTAATGCTGTTGCTCTTCATGATGAAGTAACGGATGGATGAGATGGTTAGCTGAGGAGATGTTCGGGGAGAATGCTGCAAAGAAAAATATTGGAGACCAACTATAAAATGCCAGTTACTTTACTGTTACAACTATAACTAAAGTTGAGAAAGGAAGATTTAAACTATCTCATAATGCTAAATACCTTTGCTGAGGAGGTGCAGGGGCTTTCAGAGGGACTGTCTAAGCTTACACAATAAGATGAGCTACTGGAGGACAGAGGGTTATCAGAGAGAGGGGTAATGCCCAGTGAATCCTCCTCATTCTTTAAATGGGCAGAATTTCCCCACATTCTACAATGTCTGAGAAAATGAAAAGCACATCGGTTATAAAGTCCTTGCTGTATGATTGTGGTTTATTGCATGTCAAAGAACAAGCACACAACTGCATAAATCTCAACACTACGCTCTATAATGATTAAGTGCTTACCGGTCATCTGTGCTGCATTGAGGGCTGCTCTTAGAGCTTTTGAAGGTTGGCTGGTAACCCACTTCAGAGGTCATGGGCCGAGGTCGCTGGCCTATCCCTGAAGGTTGTTGTAAGCCTGCTCTCTGCTCCTCCAATGAAAGCGCCTGACAGAGGTTTATCATCAAAGTAATGTCTCTTTTAACTCAAAATATTTTTTAATGTAAATGTTCTATAACAAGAAGTAAAACGTTATCTGGTGTTAATGGAATGCATTCTGTGTTATTGGCAATTATATTATCCATAGCAGAACAATAGTTTAAGCGTGTGACATACAGAAACCAGTGTGTGTAGAACAGCCTCGTCATGTTGAGACCAGAGCTTTGAAGGACATTTTATCCTTCTGATGAAGAGATTTAGCCATTTCTGTCTGAGCTCAAATACCAGTTCTGCTGCCTGAGGAGAAACAATACATGAAAATACAAAGAAACTCAAATAAAATACCTAGATAACAAATAAATCACAACAAATGTAAACAGTAAAATTGAAACTGCAATTTACTTCTGTATCCAACTGGAAAACAAGCCAGTCATCAAGCTTCATCTCAGCTAGCTCCTCTGAGTCACTGTCACTTGTGTCATTAACTGAGCCATCTACAAGACAAACCATGAGTCAATCAGGAAATTCAACACAGTTGCTGATTTTACGTAGATGTCAGCCATTACAGATTACCTTTTAGAGAGGCAGGTTCCTGCAGGGCAGAGCTTGGCAATTTTGCAGAACCACCAAAAATAGCAACAGTGACAGGGGTCACCATAGAGCAACAGCGAACACTGGCCATTCTTTGGCCTCTTCTCATCTCATCATATATGAGCCAGTCTGTTGGAAGGGTCTGTGCCTCCTTGGTTGAGGTGCTCTGAAGATAATAATAAACAGTTGTTTTAAAACTGACTGAAAAAGCAGCAGCAGATCTCACACATCAATGTACAGGCCTTGCAAAAAGTAAATTATTGTGTGCAATGTTTCAATGGATACTGACTGAAACATCTGAATATATTCAAAATACAAAGATTGAAAGTATCTTACCTCTTTTACCTGGGTCTGACTTAAAACTGACGTTGGATGGAAGTTAACCTTTTTCTCTTTGCTGCTGGACATGAGAGAGGTTTCCTTGTTAATATGGACAAGGTTTGGATACATCCCAGCCAGTAGTGCGGCCTTTACCACAGCCCAGTTCTCAGAGTTCAGATTTACATCTTGAATATCACTACCACCTCGTGCCCGAACAAAACCTAAAAAATTATTATTATTATTTTTTTTTTAATTGTATTGGTATTGTATGAATCTACCATATAGGGGTAGCCCCTTACCAATGGCACGCAGCTGTCCCAACAACTGAGTTCTCATTCCCAGTATCATGTCCATAGTTGCCTGAGAAAGAAAGTTCTTTTCACAGAAGGATCGTTCCCAGCCTTCACTACGAGCTTTTTGCCAAGCCTGAAAAATGGGAAAAAAATATATATATATATTGTAATTTTTGTAGCATTTCAAAAAAATACTTTTTTCTGTTGAGTATCAAACCTGAAAGGCCTGGAGCAGGGCCATGTGGTCACTGAAGGTGCCTGAGGTAAAGCGTTTGCGGCACAGTAGAGCAGCTCTCTTTTGAGAGCCCTGGGAGGGTAGTACAAAGGGGTCTCGATAGGCCAGGGTGCAGGCGATGGTGAGGATGGGGTCCAAGCACTTCAGCGCCACAGCACAGAGAACCATTTTGCCCAGATGTGGCTCTACCGGTAAATCGGCCAAATGGTAGCCCAAATCAGTGAGCTCTTCATATTGGTCCAGTGCATCTATGGCCTGTGAAAAGGAGGAGGAAACAGCATTGCATTACAAGTTGTACAACTGGAATCATGAGAACACAAGTTACCTTGAGCATCTGCACAGCATTTCGTATAGCATGTGTTGGTGGAGGCTGTGGAGCTTTAGACAAGAATTCTGCCACTGGGCAAGAGGTAGGAGATAGCAGTTTGGTCTGTAGACACAACTCCTTTAAACACAGATTACATAATTGTAAAGGCAGTTTTTAAAATGTATGCAATATTCATCTACTGATCATGTTTAAGTGCAGTCCTGCACTGAAGCACCTGAAGAGGCATCCGCAACAGCTGGGGGACCTGAAACTCCTGCATGTTGTTGAAACGGAGTCGGCTGTAGAGATGAAAGCAAATTCCTGATCTACAGCGTCCAGCTCTGTTGACATGTGAATTTATGAGTAAAGCAAATTTTTAATAATCCATTTAAAGTGAAATAAGTAATATGTGCATGTACTGACCTTCCCTTTCGTTGAAGTGCACTCGCTTTTGAGACCCAAACAGTCTTCAGCATTGATACATGGCTCAGAGTATCATAGGATTTCTACAGCAAGAAATAATTTGCAATTCAATTTAACAACCAAGTGAAACATCATTAATTATGAACAGAATTAAGTAAAGTAGTCAAATATTATATGCAAATAAGAGTACCATTATTTCAAATATTACTCAAGTTCTAAACTACCACTTAAGCAAGAGTAACTTAAACAGTTGGGATGTAGCATCTGATGTACACCTTGGAAGTTAATGTTATTAGAACAGGGGTGGGCAAACTTTTTGGCTCGCGGGCCACATAGGGTCCTAAAATTTGCCTGAAGGGCCGGACAGAACACAGGACATGACGTGTTGAGAGCTCAGCTGCATTATATTCATATTTTCGCTAATGTAGGGCTTATGTAGGAAGCGCACTACGCACTACGACATTGCCGTGAAAAAACCAGGAACACACAAAAATCAACAGATCCGCTTCACTGCATACCACAGGTGAAAGTGACATGGGAGGTATTATATTTTACTAAGAAACAGAACCCACACTACAAAGTCGCATGCAATTCCACACGACTCTTAATACGTTCTGTGCATTTATTCTTATAACACAACATCTATAAAATCCTTGTGTTTGATTTTGACCAACTGAATTTGGAAGCAGTGCAAACTTATATCTTGAACACCACCACTTCACTCATGGTCCGAATAACTCCTACAAGAACACTTTCCCATAAAGCATTGCGGCCAACATAATACACCGCACCTCAATGTATATTTATATAGTGCGCCATCTACTGGGAAACGCCGGAAATGCAGGAAAAATAAAACATCAACAAGGTTTATTATTGTAATTTATTCCAGTTCGGCGGGCCGGATTAAAAGGTTTAAAGGGCCGCATACGGCCCCCGGGCCGTTGTTTGCCCACCCCTGTATTAGAAGGAAAAACTCTAAGTAAAACTCAAATATCAGGTATTTACAGATGATCTACACAAACATTTGAAATACTACATTATAAGGAGCAGTACAAGAAACAGAAATATTCCAATTTAATACCGTCTACATAAAGCTTTTGTCACTAGTAAACTTATTTGCACCGGAAAGAGTAACTAAAACCTTTACACAAGTAAGAGTACTGCAGCTAGAAAAGTATAACTCCTTTAAAGAGTAACTCAAGTAAATGTAACTGGGTAAATGTAACTACCCACATCTGATTATGAAGTATTTTTCCCTTACCTCTTTGACTTTTCCAGAGTCAATGACAAAGACAACATCATTGATAGTGATGCTTGTTTCTGCGATGTTTGTAGAGAGGATCTAGAAAAAGGGTTGTCACAGTTGAAACCAGTGCACTAATCAATATTTGCAAACGAGCAACTCACAATTTTTCTAACACCAGGTGGCAATGGCTTCATGGCTTTTTTCTGATCAGAAGTTTGCATATCTGAATGTAAGGTGAACACCTGATATCTGCAATTATAAACACACATTGCAAAGTTATGTGCAGATTAGGGATGGGCATTCGATGAAATTTTCTTAATCGATCGACGGAAGAATTAACGATCGATTATCGATTAATCATTAACTTTTTTATATTAAAATGATCATCATTATTATTACTATCTGCACTACTAATCTGCATAAATAAATTCAACTTTAGGACATATAAATCGTAACGACTCTAGAGCCACATCAATCCGTTTGACATTATAATGTGTTTAATTCAGTTTTGCGCAACTCTCACAGAAACTAAACTTAAAACCGCATCGCTAATTTGCATAAACTCAGCGAAGATAAAACTACAGCTCTTGTGCGCTAATGCGGTCAATTTCTGTCAGATTTAAAGACATGACTCAGTGGAATACAGGTCAGTGTGACCATATTTGTGTTTGTCAAAACCAGGACACCGTACGGGGGGTGGGAGGTGGGAACTCGTCATCAACATTGCGCGACTCTCACCTGGTAAAGCTTTTTCCCACTGGACACCGAAACATATTCAACTGTTCCTGCTTTGTACACTGTGCACATGGACTCACACTTGTCCCGAAGGCAACGGAAAGCATGGAATTTCTTGTACAAATCATCGTTAAATACACATTTGTGCTTCGGTACGCTGCAGCCTGACCGACTGTTTGTGTTTGCTCGCTCCTTCTGAGTGCAGAGAGCTACATGCATGGACCATGTTTGGTCACGCTACGCACAGCAACCTACATTTGGTTTGTCGATTAAAATTAACGTAATCGATGAAATTCTTAATGATCAATTATCGATTAATCATGCCCATCCCTAGTGCAGATACACTGAAGAAATGAGCAGCCCTTTATAGAATAACGAAAACAGCTGCTGTAAACTGCTGCAAACTTTAATGAAACATTACCTTTCAAAGAGAGTTGAAAACCTTTTGTCATCAAAGTGAATGCGATCCCTGAGTGTCACAATCTCATCATATCCAGGGAGAAAAATAAGAACAGCGCCTATGACATAACAAAATATTATGAATACACTGCAATTTACCCCAAATCTTCGTAGTGGAAAAAAAAAAACATTTACATTGTGCACAGTTTGAAGAAAGAAAGGCCATCATTTGTTTTACCTTCAGTGGTGGTGGTGCAGATGTGATAAAGAAGAGTCATAATTAGGTCCAGATCTACATACTCATCATCAAAACTCTGGTGGTACAGTTTGAGCAGCTCCTGGTCCTCTAGGCTCAACTCTTCACAAGCAGACTGCACCAGAGCAGTTTCATCAGTCTGATTTACTCTTCCAAGAGGGCTAGAATAACAAGTGTAATGATTAACTGATTAACTGATTCCAATGTATTGTCAATAACTGAATGTAACAGAAAGAGAAATCTTACATTGATGACCGGAGTAGATCCACTGCATCCATCTGGTTAAAGTGCATGGCAAAGTCCAATGCAGACCTTAACACAGATAAACAAGGTTGGCATTCCACTGTGACATGCTGTGCATCTCACGACCATAAAAGATATTACTTACCAACCATTGGACGCTTTTATGTTCATATCAGCCCCCATACTTAAGAGCTGTTGCATCTGCATAATACATCCTCGACCCGCTGCCACCATTAGAGCGGTGGCACCGGTCTCACTATGGGTATAATCGACTAATTTTGGAAAAATATAGTATTTCATCTTAAAACTGTAGTTGTGTAAAATGAAACATTAAATAAAAATACGCAAGCTTAGACGTACCATTTACATTCTCATAGAGAATTAGATAAAAAATCTGGGTAAATGCTTCTTGATCTTCACTAAGGAAGACGTTGGAAATGCACATGTCCATCTCAGTTATCAGCCATGGCTCAAGGGCATCCATACCATTCTCTTCCTGTGTAAAACATACAAAGAAAATTGACAACAAATATATCAAAATAATACAGTAAATCTGACATATTGCACTTTGATTAGTCTCTTCTAAAATATGTGTCCAACTTACTGATTTGCACAGGGTGCTGCTCTCTGTGTTTGGGTGAGAACTTTGTAGTAACTCAGATGCAACCATATTCAGACCCTCAACAGAACTGCTCTCCACAGCTTTACACCATTCTGTCAAAACCTTCTCTTTAGTTTCTTCTGTAAAAGATCAAACATGGGTGTGAGACTAGTGGTTACTACTGCAGTTACTAAAGCAGTGCTAAAAAGCCTCCAACCATTTGCCAGTACATCAGACTGAATCCCAAAATATGGTATACATAAGACAGATATAGAGATAATATAATATGGAACAAATATGTATTACTTTTCTCTTTTTCCTCCTTGTACTTCTTCATGTCTTTAACTTTGTAACCAGTCATCTTCAGAATATCTTCCAAAAAATGCTCCTTCACTTCGAACTGCCTTCCTTTGACTGGAATAAAAAAAGCAGACCTGATTACTACCATATCAATACCCTGTTATGAATTATAGAAATATAATTGTGCTCACTGTGGAGGACAGGGCAGGACCCAAAATACTGAAGAAACAGGTCTAAATCCAAAGCAGCACTAGAGAGGATCAGTTTTAGAGTGGGAATCTTCTGAAGCACGTCTCGCATCTTTGTCAACAGGAAATCTGTCAGACCATCACGTTCATGCACTTCATCCTGTAAAGAGCAACAGTTTATCTTTTGACCACTAGACTATTGCTTACCACTAGTGCTCTCCCAAAAAAAAAAAAACTAATCACTGTATCAAATCAAATCAACTAATTAATAACTAAAATTATAATTGCATACTACAATAATGCTATCATTTTGTACTGCATTATACTATATACAGTACCTCTTTTTTGTGTGTGATCGTTATGGTATCAAATAGGGATGGGCATTTGATGAAATTTTATTAATCGATCGTCAGGAGAATTAACAATAGATTTTCAATTAATCATTAATGTTTTTATATAATAAGTATCATTATTATTACCATTACTAATCTGCATAAATAAACTAAACTTTACAACATATAAAAATAACCACTGTAGAGCCACATCAGCCCATTTGTGATTATAATGTGTTTAATGCAGCTTTGTGCAAGTCTCACAGAAACAAAACTTAGCGCAGCTCTTTCTGTTGCAGTAACCGGGATACTGCGTATACATGCACCATGACAAAACCGGGACACTGATGTGCATGTAAATGCATTCACTGAGTGGTACAGTGATCTTCAAGGAGGTGCCAGAGCCAAAGCATGGGACTCAGGCCACAACTCCAGTGTTTGCGCTGTCAGAGGCAGAAACCGAAACCTACGTTCGGTTTGTTAGAAATGAACGTTATCGACGAAATTCTTAATAATCAATTATCAATCAACTAATCATGCCCATCCCTAGTATCAAACTTTATAAACATCAAAATTCAAGTCTGAAATTGTGACAGCTCTACTCACCACGATCACATGTGTGACTGTTGTCAAACTGGCATCTCCAGCCATCAAAGTCCTGAGAAATACTCCACTTGTACAGAAAGTCAAAAGTGTCTTGGGAGAAACCCTAAAACATTTTTATATTTATTTTGCATAATAAAAAGGAGAGGACAAAAAGTTGAACTGTTAGAAATCGCTTAGCAATGATACAATACTTTCAATTGCTTCATTTGTCTTTACCTGCTCTCAAGTCTGATGTGATAACCAACAGTTTGCCCCACACTTTCTCCTCTTTCTGCTGCTACCCTCTCGGCCACACCAATGGCGGCCAGGCGTCTGGGCTGTGTGCAAAAGATCCTGCATGGCTCTCCCCTCCTAGTGCAGTCATCAAGAAGGAACTGGGGAATCTGGATGAAATCATAGAATTAAATTGGCTTTGTGTTAGCAGGACTGGTGGCATACGTTTTTATTCAAACAAAGCTAAATATCGGCAGAAATGTTGTATTCAGTAACACTGGGTTTACCTGTGTAGTTTTACCAGAGCCGGTTTCTCCTACCACCAGAATGACACGGTTTTCTGTGATAAGTTGCACAATCTCCTCACGTCGTTGGTACACCGGCAGAGAGCACCTGAAATTGTCAATATCTGTGGGATTTCTTCTTCTGGGCACCATAGGAATGCCATTGTTTAGACATCCACTTGCTCTATTTTTGTCACAGCCCTCTACAATAATAAGAAAATATTTTTTTAAATGCACTGGCTGTGGATTCCAATCAGATGGGATTTGATGACCTACCAGCTTCAGTGGCCATCCTCAGGCTGCTGTTACTGCTGAGCTGAAGGTCTATGCGTTCTTTGCTGGTGATGGGAAACCTCTGACGTAGGCTCCGAATAAAGTACAAAGTGTTGTGGGAAAGAGTAAGAGACATTGTTGGTCGAGGTTTTTCTGAACCACCATTTTTTCTGATAGTAAGAAATCGATTTGGTCCTTTCCTGAATTTAAACATTTCAAAAACAAGTGGAATTAGTACACACTTGTTCAACTTGTGTGTGTACTCAACAAAGTGTATACTCAACAAAGTGTGTACTCAACAAAGTGCTCAACAAAGTGTGTACTCAACTTGCACACAAGTTGAGTACACACTTGTTCAAATGACAATACTATCAATACTATATTCTCAACCTACCCCTTGCTTTTGGAGATGTACCCCAGAGACAGGGCTAAGCGGTGAATGAAGGCCCTTTCAGTACTTGATAATGACGAGGGAAATTCCATCTCTGTTTATTCAGATAAAGTAACATTTCATATATTGTTTTCAATACAGTTTTAATAATTACAACCAATCTGTGTATGTGTATGGGGCAACTTTCATGATAATGTACAGCTCAATTTCACACCTTTCTGGTCACTGTAGCGAAACCTCTCCAAAGCGAGGTTCACAGATATCTTCACTTCTTCATCGATGTGAATTTTTTTGAGTCCACTGGACACACGTCCCCTCTTTGATGTGCTTTGGCCTTTCGCCAGTGTTTTGGAGGACACAGCAGTATGGGACATTCTGGGAAAACGATAAGATGATTTAACACAATTCTATGACGTTGTAAATAACTCATATTTTAGTACATTTCCTAACCACATAACTCAACTCAAGAATATGTAAACTTGAATGTCAGCACTTTAATAGGGTACTAGTCACCGGACTGAGTTTATGGGTTTATCGCTTTCACTATTCTCATTCTGCTAACGAAAGCTAGAAGAAGCTAAAAGACCCATGTCTTCTGTGTTAGCTAGGCAAAAAAATATCTTAGACGTAGACATGGCCAACATACAGGTTAGATAGAGTTGACAAGGTACAAACACTGCTTAAGTATATGTGTGGAGAGGAAGAGACCTTATTGTTTTCGACTTAGGTTTGTTGCTCCATCGACGACGGGACCTGACTCTGGACTCCGGACTGTTTCGACGGCCGCCAACGAAGACTGCACTTCCGTTACAAAATAAAACTGATATGCATAAAGACCATGGAAGTATTTTTCACACATCACAAAGCGAATATTTTTATTAACACGAGACATTAGAAAGAATAACCACCAACACAGAATTATCATCATGGTCCAGAGTGAAATTTTATTTTGTCGTCTTCATGGTATGTGTGGCATAAAAAGTCAGAAAAAGTAATAACAAATATTAACATAAACAGCTTTTTTCTTATGTAGATCTGTGGTGGGCTAAAACCCATCAATTTTAAGGCAACTACTATAGTAAAACTAAAAGAAGACAAGAGAACATATAGAAAAAAACATTAATTTATTAAACATTAACAAAAGCAATCTTAGTTTATACACAGTGCAGCTTTTCTGGTATAACATAATCAGAAAAAAGATGAAAAAAGAATCTAGCTGTAGGCCGATTTGAAGCTTATATTATTAGATGGCAATAATGAATTAATTCATCATTTAGTAAAGGCAAACAACATTTGGTGAAGAAAGAATCAACCTGCACCATTTTGGGAGCATGAATAATAAGCACACATCTGAATTTAAAACTGTACAAGCACATGGCTGATATGTCTGAGCAGCACTTTAAACATTAGAAACATTCATTTAGAATAAAACTGCTTAAATCACATGTTCATCTATCATAATGTTCATGTTCATCTACCCCCATAAAAAAAACATAAATTTGAGTCAAATAATAAAGTAAAATCTAATGTACTCTTGATTTGATCTCATTATCCAAGTAAGTGAGGAATTCAGCGCCAAACATGAAAGATAAAAACACAAAACACCCATCGAGGATTGAGACCAGGTTTAAAATTCTGGAGGTCTGTTTTACAGAAAACTCTTAAACAATGATTGTTCATTTAAAACTTTAAACATGGTAAATTCAGGAACAGTCTTAAAAAGATGGTAAAAGTCGACACAAAGTCTTTGTACTTTGCAGTGTACAAAAGAGAGTTCAGTTTTTGTGATCAATTATCAAAACACTTCATGATTGCCTCTTTGTCAAATTTGAAGTTGAGGAAAGCATTTGATGACAGAAGCTGCTCTGAACAGGAAGAGGATTGGTGACCATTGGAGTTGAACTGAGCCACATCTGTAAAAAAAAAAAAAAAAAACATTGTTTATCCAACACATTTTTCTTTTGCCGGTTCTGGATAGTTTGTATTTGCAATTAAAATCTATTAAGATTTAAACATTAGGATATCATTTTGCATTTAAATTAGGTTGTGTGCCTTTGGCATGCTTAAGTGTCATTCTTTCAGTCCATGTTATTTATGTCTTAAGCTCATTTGTGTTTTAGTCTAAATTATCCATATACTAATATTCAACAGAAACTGACAGTAATTGTGCCAACTCCACATGAACATGGCCACCTTTTTCCTCATATTTTTAAATTCCTTGTATATTTTGGGATTATGATGATTCATTTTGTATGCACACAGCTCTTCCATTCTTCATGGTTTCATTGGTGGTCTGGTGCATTCATATAATTAATTCATATAAACTGGAGTTGACAGCATAGTACCACTCATTCAAAGACACTCATGTCTGGGTTAGTCTATCCAGGTAGTTACAAATTCACTCAGTTTCATATAGTACAGGCAGTTAAATTTTTTTGGGACCAGAACATGCATTGTTCCTTAATTTTTGGTGAGCCGTTTTCATGCATGTGTGTTGTACCTTTCTCAAAACTGTCTTGCAATCTTCTGGGCTGAAGTCGTTTGTCTTCTTTCTGAAAGGTTATGCAGTGATTATGCTCTGTAACCATAGACTGTATAAAAAAGTGGACTAAGTGAGTGTGATGTCACTCACAGAGTTCAGCTCCAGTCAAATGAAGGTCACAAAGTCTAGCAGTTACAGGATCGAACTTAGAGCCAAGTTACACATTTGGAATTCTGATTGCGGGTATAGCAGCAATCAAAGAGCCAATCACGAGCAAGGGTGTTAAAGGGAACACCCCTCCCACCTGCACTGCTGGTTTAGCAGGGAGGAGGCATTAAGTAATGCCGTCAATCAGACCTGTTGCTAATGCTAATGCAACCTCGAGGAAAGAAGGCACCTGATTTTTCTGTTATTAATGTTCATATCTTGATTTACAGATACAATAGTGACATGAAAAGACCTGGATCATGTAGGGCAGATTAATATGAGCATTTTAAGTCCAAAATTATGAGGCTCACTGCAGCAGTTATAGAGAGAGGAGCAATGTAATTTGAATTGGATCCAGAGTTGATGGAGCTGGAAGCACACCCATGCTCGCTTCCTATTTGGAAAATGGCGGCTAGAGCATTAGCTATGTCCATTTACATATACAGTCTATGTCTGTAAGACACATTTTTAATGTTACATTTAGAGCCCAATCTTGCCCCCAATCTTGGCACTAGTGCTAGAGTTAAAGAGGGGGCGGGTTCAGGTTGGCCTGTGCTTCCCTCCTGGAGGTTGGAGCGGGATGGTACAAGTACATATATGGTGATGGCATCTGAACCAATCTGTGACGGCTGTAGCATTTAAAGCACTGCTAGTATGTGTAATGTCTGTAATCTTTGTCTCACTACAGACAGCAAAGTGGAGTGGGGGGAAAAATTATATATGGGTACAATAAAACCCTATGATGCAAGTGCGCACCAGTAGAGGCACCAGCAAAATATAGAATTTTGGATGCACCTGACCGAACTGGCTGAGCACTCTTCTCACACACACGCACTCCTGTAAGCCTGTGCTCGTGCACACACGTCAAACTTTTTAGTTTTTGCTGCATTGCTCATTTTGTTTGCTTTCCATGGTACAGCAAATCGGTGTCTGTCTCATGTGCTCCCCATCCCACAGCAGACCCGCTGACCACAGCTCTCCCCATGATCGCACCTGCTCCCACCTGTCCCAGCAGTTTACTCTGCATTTCTGTCCTGAGATATGAGTGTTCACTGTTGCTATTGCTGACGACTCACATTCTTATCACACAGATCACCACTGCATTTGGTCCCACACAGGTGGATGTCGCTCGGATTATAGAGTACATTTGTCATATAAATGTTTCTGATATTACCGCTTTGCACTTCGATGTGGATTAAACTACTAACACACGGAGAGGATGCAGGACCTGCATTTGCTCCGCACAAGTGACTGATATGTACCACGAGCGCACAGAACAGGATGCATAGGTTTGTACAGAGCAGTGCTCACACACATTTTTCGTCTCTTGAGCCATTTTATTAACTCATGATACCAAGATGGCAGCACATACGAGACATGCATCTCATCCACTGTTACAGCCCTGAGCTCAATGAATGTGCGCACTGACCTCTGTCAGAGTCCAACTGCGAGAATGCAAGGAAATCAAACATTGCAGCAATAGGACTGCAGACAGGGTAAGAAAACACACTTTAGAAGATCGTTGTAAATGGCCTAATGTGAATGAGCAGCTTTTGTACAGTTCCAGATCAAATCGAACTATAGAACAGTGCTAAGTCGATACAGGACGTGGGCGAGGGGCTGTGCTCTGGTGCGAGAGGGCACGAACATCCCGCACAGCACACGAACATGTTATGAATGTTAAGCATTTATCCTCCTAACATATTTTCAAACAAAACCAGTCTTGAGCATGTTACATGTTGTTTTCAGTGGACTTGTTTGATATTTATTTTTACGATCCTGGCAATTCACTGAATCCGCCATGCCACGCCCTCTGTCTGCTCCACTCCACCTGATATTCAGGCACAGAACACCTTTTGTGCTCCACTACCCACACTTGCGCTACTGCTAAGAACAGGGGTAAGATTGGGCCCTCTATGTCTCAGTAGAAAGGTTTTACCTGCAGACTGCTAAATCCATTTTCACTACCTTTCTTCACATAGGGCGACTCTTGGTTTTTCTTCCCATTGCTTTTTATAGTTTGGCTCTACAAAGATAACAGTAATAATACATACAGTTGTACATAAATAGATTGCTTTAATGGAATTATGTCAATTTACTAACCTGATACAGATCATATTGGCCTGTCATTTTCTGCTGTTTGTGTTTGGCATTGGTGTCTGCTGAATGAACTTCTGTGCCTGTCATGCGACGAGACTTGGACCTAAAGTACAATCAAGCTTTTATAAATGTGCAGAGGAAATCCAGCATTGTACAGTATATTATAATAGTATATGTTACATAGTTTTACCGATTATTGTCTGAGAATTTGCTTGGAGTACTGTCCTCATCGCTGTCTGGTGACTCGCCTTTGAGTTTACTGATTTGCTCTCGCAGTGGCCTACAAGAATCAGAGTGAACAAAAATGTTACAAAATGTTATTTAATTTTATATTTTGTATAAAAAAGCAAATAAGTACCTAATGAAAGGAATGGCCATAAAAAATCTATTTGGCGCAAGTCCAAGTTTGGATTTAGGGGTCATGTCGTTTCTGTGGCACGGGAGCTTCTCAATAGGAAACCACTCAATGTTCTAAAACACACATAAATAATGTCAAATATAGAAAGAACTATATTGTCCATAAAGGCAGATAAAAACGTGCACATACCCGGATCTCTTTTCTTGTTTTGGGGTTAAACTTGGTGTCCTTGGATACACCTGGTATAATGTAAAGGCGCACTAACTGGTCAGTGATTTTCTGTTCTATGTACATGTCTTTACAGATGCGATTCTTTATATCAAAACCCGTCTCTTCCATCACCTAAAATGCACATAACGTTATTTACAAATACACACACACACACATCAGTCTCAATGTGTAAACTACTCAAGGAAATCTCACTTCACGAACTGCACAGTCGTGAGGAGCTTCTTCTTCATTTACTTTACCCTTTGGGAAACCCCAACCTGACTTCGCCAAATAACCCTGAACAAGCAGCACCTACCAAAGAAACACAATTTGGCTCTCCAGCAACTTAATTATAAATAAAGTCAACAACTAATGTTTGAATAACTACCCACAAGCTATAATAGAGTCAAACATGTTTCTGCATGTAAAAAACTGACTTACATATTCAAGTGATTCATCTAGAATAATGGCTCCATATGTTGGTACACCCATCTTGTATTCTTTCCACTGTTCCAGAACCTTCTGCACATCCTCTCCATTAGGAAGCAGAAAAGGACAGTGTTGGAAAAGTATTGTGCTGTTAAGGTCAGTAATTTACTGGATTTTACAGATTTAAAAAAATACTGTCATATGTCGTAATAATACGAAATTTTAAAATAATTATTTCAATACTGTAGGATATCAGCTTTTGCAAAATCTCTTATTCCACAGTGAGGGGCACCCGGTGTATTTTGCATGCAGAAGTCCAAATAAAACCAGTGAGCCAGCTCGATCTGGAAGCAAACGCGGATGGCATTGTCCCTCTCCTCGCTTGGAATGTGAAGAATAAAGCGACTGCAAAAGAGAAGAAGGTAACACAATTAAGGACAAAGCATAAGTATTATCATAAATCACCATCCCTTCTGATGCAGTTGGTGAGGACATTAGTGGCTGAAAGTAATTATAAGTGAAAGTCAGTAATTTATCTCAGAATGTTCCGCAGTACACTGAGGATTGCATTTGATTATAGATGTAAAGACTGAACTGAAACACACAGTTTAATTAATTAATATCAGATGATAGGATACGAGTCAGACAGGCAGTGGGCTATAGAGAGCTGTCGCATCATCACAATCACGTAAGATTAAGTCAATATTGTGACTGTAAATTGAATACAAAGAAGTGTTTGTTCGTTTAGGACTGTAACATATCCATAATCTGTGATATAATCAAAAACAAGTATGCCAAATAAACCCTTACCTGCAGAGGTCGTCCAATAGCGCGGTAGGGATCTCGACTCTTTTTGTTTCCATGTTCGGCGAAAACATCCCGACATGAAGCCAGACCAAGAGGCCAAAAATACAGCTATTTTCACAACATATTTCGTCACATTTTTTTCTTTGAGTCCACCAAAACTCAGCTTTACAATAGCCTCAAAAGCTAATATCAACTGAGTTGTCTCCTCCGAGCGATAAGTTTCTTGTTTTTAGTTTAGAGCTTTAGGCGGAAATGAAGTGCACCAATGAAAAGAAATAAGGCGGTCTGTACGTTCACTTCGCAGTTTCTATTGGTCAAATGTTGAGTCAATCTGCGCAGAAATCATGGCAATAAAGTAGAGGCTCTAGCAAGTTTGTATGAGACTTGAGTTCTTTGCATCACTTGTTATTAAAACAGATTTAACCTTTTTAACTTTTTAATTCTTTGAATTTTTCCTTTTTATGCATTTCTGCATTTATTTATTATAGCCTTCTATTTCTGCACAACAACAGAGAGCATGTTTGTGTCCTCTGCATTAATGTAAACCTTTCTGCTGCTTGTTGCTGTGCCTGAAATGTTTCGCAAATGCAATATGGCATTAAACATAAATATAACATTTATTTTATCGGTCAAAATTACATTGAAAAATCATGCATTCTTATTGTGAACAGGTTCGCCTCTCCACAGATCTGACCCTTTAACTTGACTTGATGGCATCACCTGCTAAATTGGGGGTCATAGGTGAAGCAATAACATCTACAAACCTACAAGCAGCAGTTGTACACAACTACAAAATATGTTATAGTCAGGGGTGTAGCACACTTGTACTGCAGTACATGTTGTCTAATGAAAAATTCATATTACAGGCTTTGAGACAGGCCCCTCCCTGCATTGGACCCCCCCCCAAGTCCAACACCCCTGCTTACAGTCATTTTTTTTTTTTATGCTTCATGGATATGTACCAAATAGTATATTAATTTTTTATATGCATAACCAAATGAGATTTTCATCTTTATAAGTTGTGTTATACTTGCAATTTACTGTTTTTAAATGTGTGTTTTTTATTTTTATTTTTTAAATACATGTTTAATCATCTTAGTAGTTAGATATTTGGTCCACAAAGTCACTGTATTAATCTTGTGGCTAACAGCACTGTAGACAGAGTACAGACCCAGTCATTACAGAGATACTGGGACCAAGCATCTACATTCTGACATTTAGAGGCAAAACCTACCATATAATGCCTGTAGTCCATCTGTCTATGTCTATTTAACCTTAAACCCCTCAATTGTGCTATTTTACTTACCTATTCAATCCCCCCTACCAACCCACCTACCCCCTCCCCACCCCACCCCTGATGTGCCATGCTGCCACAGTTTCTGCCAAGTCATCAGTGAAGGCAAGGGTGTGGTGGCAGTAAGCAGATGTGCAAATGTGGATTTTCTGTCGAATTTAGCTACATTAGCTACATATTGCTATAAATAGCCTATAAAATATAGCGTATAACACAACTTGAAAAATGGGCTACTTTAGAGAGAGATGTTACAAAGGGTATCATCAAAATGTAACTGTGTTACAAATTTAAGTATATTTTCCCTTAGACCTTCAAAGTAAATTCACAACCAACTAAACAGTATGTTTAATAGTCTTTATGAGCCTGTTTTGGTATAATATTTAATCTGCATATTTTTGTAAAATTGCAAGACATATATTTGGAACTACTGCAGAGGTAATTAAATGTACAGAGTTACGATACCATATGGTCCGCATATTAAATTATGCAACTTGTATTTTATTTTGAAGGGCATGTTTAAAGAAACAGCTGCCACTCGACGCTTGACGCCAGTGATAACAACTGTGCGTAGCTGCAAGGGTGTCGCAGTTTTGGATTCAGCTAACTTCGTAATTCAGCAGCAGCATCGCCCTGAAGGAAGTGTAGCCATGGCGCTGGGACTCAAAGAGAGATTTGAAAACTTTCTACACGAAAAGAACCTCATGACAGATGTATTGGCCAAAATAGAGGCAAGAACTGGGGTGAGCAGAACGTACATCGCATTGGGTGAGTATTTACGGGAACATAGATGGAAAACACAAAGTACATATAATACAGGAAGGGACGTGGTCGGGTAACGCTATATTGAATACCATTATTGTACCATAATTGTACCATAAGTTTGTTTTTATTTAGCCTTCATTGTTCAAACGTTGACATTATAGCATATTACCAGCGTATAACAGTGACATGAATACAACGTCGTGATATTTTTTTTTTCTTTTGTTCCAGCTGTCATTGGTATAGTCGCAGTTTACTTGGTCATTGGTTACGGGGCCTCCCTGCTGTGTAACCTCATCGGTTTTCTTTATCCAGCCTACATATCGTAAGTGTCTTATTATTAGAGCCCCCCCAACCCTCACCACACACACACACACACACACACACACACACACACACACACACACACACACACACACACACACACACACACACACACACACACACACTCAGACACTCAGACACACATACACAAGGCAGTGATGAAGCAGATCAGTTTGAGAAAGGATGATAGGCTATAGAATGGGTAAAAAAGTTGCTTAACCATGTACATTAGAAGTGGTGTGTTTAGTCATAGCCGTAACCACACATCTACTTCCTGTTGTACAATATTTAGTTCAGTTTGTCAAAGAGAGAAGGCTTTACCTTATCTTCATGTTGCCATAACAAACATAAAACAAAGGGTATAATGTATGTGATTTTTTACTGTTTTTTTAAACATCTAGGAGATGGTTAGTCTGACTTTTATTCCTTATGGAGTCCTAATATGGGCCAAAATGGTGAGGTCAGTTAGTGCCATTTGGCTGTTTAATAATTAAAATATTACTAGTGAAAGGCATGTAAGATGTTTTAAGAGTTATTACCATAGTGCAGCCTAGGTCTAAAACATAAAAAAAATAGAATGAACAATTGTTTGTGTCCATGCCAAACCAAATTAACACTACATCTTTATACTCATATTATTTATTTGTACCTTGTGCACTATATTACTCTGATCTTCATTACAGACAAACATCCTGCTCGCTTGTGAATCAGCGTTAAGCCGTGTGACTGTCACAGAACAGAGTGGAGATTGTACACTGAAATATGCAGACCACTGTCAGGCTCTCATGGCATGATTAAATAAAACTTTCATTGGTACCAAAAATTGTCAGCGCTGTAGCTTATTGAAGAGTAATTTTGTCCTGAGCAAATAGACTTCAATGGCTGTAGGTGTATTAATATAATTAAGGAAATAATTGACTTATTTATTTCCTATTTACACTAATAATAATTTGTGGATTTTAAATGGAGGCCATTAAAGTATTCAAATTTGTGACCATATAGTGAATTTAGACATCTTTATCAGTGTAATTCCTCATTAATATATAGTTACATTAATCTGTCACTTGCAATTTGTGCTTTGGGAAGCATGTTTTGTCTTGGTGATATTGCAATGTAGTGATCATCCATGGCATTATCAGACTGCTAACCTGAGTCATTAACTTGAGTCACTGAAGTTGCAACTGTAGCTGTATCTATTGAACAAGGAGGGGCTCAAAACTACTGAGGAAAGCAAATAGTTGATAAAAAACTAATTTAAGAATAAAACACATGTCAATAGAAATGGCTAGACCAAGCAAAATGTTGTTGTAGATTCTGCCTGGGGCCCATGTGAAGGTTAAGGTAAATGCTGAAGTTGCCAATTGTGGGATTTCCCTTCAAGGGGTGTCACAGGGATTTCTTACATGATTGTAGAGGGCTATTTTTTGAAAGTCTTCATAGAGTGTAGTAATTATACAGTACAGATTTATGACCAAAGAAAAATGAAATATTTCAAGTTTGTGATCAAATCTGGCTGTCATTACCTTATCTATGAAGCATTCACACAATCCACACTTGGTTGTGGTTGAGTAATCTGCAAACTCCAAAAGTGTATCACACCTTCTGATGGCACGTGTCCAGACTTCAGTTTTGTGGCAGATCATTGAGCTGCACCAGCAGATCCTCTAATGAGCCATTGCTGCTTAGGTCGGCCATCTTCAACACATGGAGCATCCCAACCTCCTGGAAACAATTGCCTCGAGAATGCTTTAGCAATAACAGAACTTTTAAATTATCAGCTGCAGATCAGCCTGTCAGTTTCATTGCAAATGAAATGATTTACCATCTTAAATTTCTTTAAATCTTGTTTTGGTTTACTAGAGCAAAAATGTATTTTATTAATTTATTTGTTCTCAATAATTTCAATTATTTGCAATGCACTGTGACATGTCATGTAAGTCAGGGTATTTTTTCATAAGCTGAAGGCAATTATGAAACTCTGCCAAGGGAATATATTCAACTGAATATGCCGACACTGAATATATGAAAAGTTGAATGTCCAGTGAGATCCATATTTCATTCTGTTTTGTTTGTATCAATCAAAAACTGCAATTCTAGGTAAAAACAAAATGTATACATTTACTTAAAATTATATGATTTATAGTTATTTATAAATCTTGTTTTATTACAGTTGTGATTATTAGTTTTGCATTTCAAGTTGACCGATTAAAATTTGTGTATAGTTTGTGATGTTTTGTTGAACAATCTGGAAACATCAGTTCTTCAAATGCTACACTTTGTCTCCACAGCATCAAAGCCATCGAAAGTGCCACCAAGGAGGATGACACTCAGTGGCTGATTTACTGGGTGGTGTATGGAGTGTTCAGCGTGGCCGAGTTCTTTGCGGATATCTTTCTCTCCTGGTTCCCATTCTACTATATTGGGAAGGTAGTTGATATTCTGTTTAAATTTCTCACAAACAGCTGTATATACTTAATTTTTCAATGAATTTGTCACCCTCACTGGTTAAACTAATCTGTATTGCAAACATCCTTTCAACACAATGCAGGTGGAGCAGAAAACTGTTGACAAAGAATATCCGTGTTGATATTGGTAACATAGGGGGATCAGTAGGAATCTTTAGAAGTGTAGACAGAGCAGTTCGTAGCACTGATTTGATTAATAATAATAATAATAATAATAGTAGTAGCAGTAGTATTAATAATGCCTTACACTTGTTATGTGCTTCACAGGCGTGTTAAAAACGCTCAAAACACGTGTAACATAAATTATGAAATATAATATTTCTGTCCTGTCCTCAGTGTGCCTTTTTAGTGTGGTGCATGGCTCCAAGCTCTTCAAATGGTGCTGCCCTCATTTACAACCGCATCATTCGACCATTTTTCCTCAAGAATGAGGCCAAAATTGATGATGTGGTACAGAACTTGAAAGACAAGGCATCAGACGCTGCTGGGAAGATTAAAGATGAAGGTGAATTGTTTGTAATCAAATTTAAAGGCCAATTGTTACCTTGTTTTTCTTCTAATCCGCAATATATTTTATTTTTGTCACCAGCTAAAAAAGCTACAGCGAACCTCATCTTCGAAGAGAAAAAGAGCACCTAAGCAGCTTGTTTCCGAATGCCTCTGGAGCGGACCCTTTATGCTAAATATGTTGCCTTGGAATACTTTTTAAAGACATTTTGTCTTCTTAACCTAAAGTAACTGTTACTTTCATGTGTAAAGATAAGCCATTTCCCAGTTGATTTATTTAATGTCGTCTTTCAAGACAGATTTCAAGTTTGTCTTCTGTTGCCTGGTGCAGACTGAAGTAAATAAAAAAGTTGCTCAAGTGGTCATTTGAACTATTATTAAAGGCTGTACTAAGAGAGCATTAATGTTTGTAAAATATAATAATTTCATTGGAAGTGTCATCCAGCTTAAAACTGAAAAAAATCAATATTCAATCTCTTCACCAAAAGAGACAAATTGGACAAAAAGATTGCCTTTGGTAGAACTGTAAACCTACTAACTTCTTACTAGCATCTTTTAGAGTGTACTTTAATACAGGTATTCTACTATAACCAATTCATCAAACACAAAAAATGCTGTGGTGTGAGTGAGTACAGTGATCATTTTAATGGCTTCATAAACAACTATATAAAACAATTCATAAAAATTCATGCACTTTCAGTGTAAATTCAGTTTGAAATATAGAAGAACTTTATGTACAACCGAGTGAACCGGAACAGTGACTTCATTCAGTTGGTGGTTCACTACAAAAATACTTGGCTGCATAGAACATCAACATTATTGCCTACTCAGAAATAAAAAAAGAAAAGTATAAAGTCTTAGTCCATCTAGTAGGTGTTCCTAGGTGAAACATCTCTTTAAACCAAATTATTTCTACATAATCAGACAAAATTATACTAATAACTAATCAACAAAAGTGAATGTTAAACTTTCCCTTTACCAAGTTACATTCTGAAAGCATTATGAAACTACTGTACAGATACTCACTCAAATGACAAAAAGCCTGAGTTGATGGGGAAAGGTTGAGTCATAATAAATCCAAAAAAGCCTGAGGAAAAAGACCACTGATTTACTATTTTACAAAAATTTACAAACATTATTACTGTAAAGAAAAACATGATACAAGTTGCTTACATGAAAAATAACAAACCCAAATTATTTTTACAGCTAAGATATGTTAAATAATTCACGCATGATGGGAATTGAAAAACCTGATACAGATGAGAAATGCTTGAAAATGAGGTACTTCAGGTGGTGAGCCTGAGCCCAGACTGGATTCAACCAGACAGGTTTCTATTGACCTGTGATGTGATTGGTGGGACTATGGACTTCTCACTGCTTTAACACTTAAATAAAAGGTAGATCACCACATTAGGCATGATAAGGAGGAACAGGGACAGACAAACACACAGAACAGTCAAATACAGGATCCAGTGTCACGGTGTGAACATGAGGCAGCACTCAGGGTCATCATTGTCCATTTCCAAAAGTAAAAACATTATAAAAATAACTAAACTTGTGCTGTGTGCTGCCAAGTCCACACAGCACTGCAGCTTAAATTCTTAAATACAAAAATATGCTTTGATTTGTGTCTGCTGCCTGGTCTCACCCACGGCTCATGATCCATCTTCGGTAAGAACAGCCCGAGATGTGACTGATGCACAGTGCTTCACCTGCTCCAGCTGCTGGTCTGAGTACAGTCCCTGTAAGGCATTACTGTGTAGATGAGTCTATGGCTGCTACAAGCAGGCCTTTGAAGTTTGTGTTATGTTTTGCGGCTGCTCCAGATCTGTTCTGGTGTGCTTTTGTGGTCTGATGAATAATCAAAAGGTGAGCGGTGTCCCAGTGGCGAGCGGGAGTCATAGGGTGAGCGCTGGTCCCGTGGGGAGCGTGGCCCGCTGGCTGAAGCCCGCTCTGACGGTCGCTCTGAGTGGTATCGGTACGAGCGGTGGTCCAGGTGGGAATGATCTTTCATATCCAGTCGATGGTCTCTTGAACGGTAGTCATCCAGCTTCCTGTGTTTACTGTCACTGTAATACCTGTACACAATAAAACATGCCATATGAAACACACATCTGTGTTTAAACAGTTTTCAGTGTCAGGCAAGGATTATTACCTGTCCTGCCTGTCCCGGTCCCTGCTGTCTGGTCTGTAGTGGTCTCTGTCTCTGTGGTCTTTGCCATTGCTGAAGGATGAATAAGGTCTTTTCCTGGACTCCCCTGATGATGACTTTCGATGGGACTCTGAACTTTGCCTCTCCTTGTTGCTGTCATGATACCGTCCAGAAGAAGCATTTCTGTCCGAGCTATAGCTGTCCCGACTACTGTCGTCGTGGTGAGAATTGTCTTTCAGCCTTTCAATGTCTGAGGAACAAAGAATCTATGTTTTTATTCCACTAATAACTAAAATACCAGAATACTTAGGTTGATTTATTGTACCTGCATGCTTGAAACTTGACTGTGTGTTTGAACCTCTAGTGTTTTGCTCCATTGCCTGTATAAGACACACTTATGTTTAACAGGAAGGAGCAATGCAAAAGGTATAACTTTATATTGTATAGGCTGTGCATTTTTTCAACCTGTGCATTTTCTTGTCTTTTCTTGATGGCATGCTTGTAAAGTTTATGGAGTTTCCTTGCATCAAACTCAGTGAATTTAGAAACGAATATCCACAGGTTCCTAGAAAGAGAACATAATGATTGTATATTTTAAGTATTATTTGAGTATTACTACATTATACTCAAACATATGTAGTTACTTTCTCCACTGTTTAATGAGGTCAGGGTTGGAGTACTCCTTCAGACATTCTGTGATATGGTCTCCAATTTTGATGAGACACTGGCGCGTGTGTTCAAGCTGCTCACGCTCAGACAGTCCTTTCTCTGGTCGGTCCAGCTGCTTTAGAGCGGCTTTCACTGGGCGCATTCTCTCTTTACACTGAAACAGGCACCTGTTTAAGCCCCTATTGTAAGCCCCTAATGAGTGTGTTATTTGAATCTGCATCATACCACACTAAAGGTCTTCTGGTCCAGCTCCTCGGATTCCTCAAACACTGGCACAGGTTCACCACACGCTGTTATGTGGAGCGGCGTGTCAGAGAGCTTCTTCGCCCGCTCTCTGGTCTCATTTTTTATTTCATTCTAATTTCAACAGAAAAGCAACAATATTACTTAACATTGTTTTTTAGAAAGTATGTAAAGTGTGTAACTACTGTACCTTTTCAACCAGCTCCTCTTGTTTGTGAGCAGGCTCTGGGGGCTTTGTATCCTTCTTCTCCTTCTGCTCCTTTTCTTTTGTGTCCCAGCTGTCATCCCTTTTCTCTTTTTTGATTTCTTTCTTGATTTCCTTGTCTTTGACTTCTTTCTCTCCTGAAGAAGAATTATCTTCCTCTTCGTCCTGCTCATCTTCCTCCTCTTCTTCATCCTCCTCCTCCTCCTTTTTCACTACCACTCGTTCAGCTCGGCTCCGCCGGCTTTGGGGTTTCACTGGAACAACGTCCTGTGGAAAATTAAAAACTCACAATCCTCAAATTACAACTACACAATACAAACATTTGTCTAAAAAAAACAAAACATGCCTTTTCCTCTTCGATGTCCTCCTCATCGTCCGACATCTTGTCTGAAGGAGGGTCTGAAGATGGACTCTTTACTTCTTCTGATTTGTCAGGCTTAACTGTTTTGTTTTTTTTGTTTCTGGGTTTTCTTTTGCGCGAATTGGCCTTCAGAAAGAAAAGAAGAGAAGAAAAAAATCAGCCAATAAAAAATGATAACCACTCATAATATTTTAGCTACTTACAGATGATTGTGATTTTTGAGCTTCCTTTTTGGCCAGGTCTTTACTCAGTAACTTTATGAGGTAGTCTGCTCGGGTCTGTAATTGTTTAGCTTGAGGTTTCTTGTCAGGGTCGTCTGGTAAGAGCTGAACAAAAAGGGATATTAATTGGGATGTAAGCACATATTTTAGATTTTTATTTTAACAGTACCAATAACAGCAGTAGTTCAGAAAGAATAAACATTATCCACTACCTAAATTAATCTTATTATCATTGTTGTAAAGTTGTTGTCAAAGAGTGCAAAAAGTAATAATTATATACAATTCAGTGTAGTTAACTATGCATTACTTTATACAACATACTGATATCAATTCAAAAATGTATTTCATTGGTTACCTTGTGGGTGAGATTCAAGTCAGGGTCCATCTTAATCATCTCCCAACTTCCATATCCATACTCATAGATACCAATGAGGAGGCTAGAATCATCTTCTTTACCCCACTCAATGTCGAAGTGTGCAGCCTTTGAGTGGCATGGAATTATATATCTATCAAAACATAAAAGGCGCATTTTAATAAGTAGGTTTTAGGTTTTGTTAAGCAGATTTTAAACATAAATAAATGACTTACTTCTTCCTCTCCTCTGGATCAGCTGGAATGGCCTTGTGGAGCGGTGCCAGCTCTTCTTCATGGGATATAACAAGTTTGGCATTAACCTGGACACCAGATATCCTGAACGTAGGGCCTTTCACTTTTCCTCTTCTGCCACCTGTCAAACAAATTGAGTTGTAATGCTTACATTGTAAAATTATGCATTTATTTTAATATTTACAGCAAGTATTTTATACAAGCCCTTCTGACTGAAGCAACATAAAACAATGTACGCTAGTCTTCATTTGTATGTTTTATGGGTCTCTCACCAGAATTTTTTTCTGGTCCACATGGGTTTTCTCGTAGTGTTCGTAGACAGCCGTTGTGAACTGTCTCAGCCAAGCGTTTTAAATCATGTTCTGATTTATCCACAAGTTCAGCATCTCGAGCTATAGCATCCAATCTTTAAAAAAAAACAAAAAAAAATCCATAAGAGAAAACAAATGAATGGGTACTGATAATTAAGTTAAAGGTATACTGGGTAAATTTTCAGGTGAAGGGTAGGCCACCTGATTGGAGAGGTTAATGCTCTGTTCATTCTGCATTTCTTCAATTACATGTGTGGTAATAGCCAATGCATTACTTGAAAACATCTTTTCTTACTGGGAATTCCACAAACAGGTGGCAGACCCTGTACCAGAAAATTCAAGACTTGAAAGTAATTTATTTTACCGTTCAAGTGGTCCACCAAATTTCTTGTAACTCTTTACAAATCTGAAGCCAAATAGATCATTTTAGTTATAATCATTGTTTATAACAAGCTTATTTAGTTATTAACAAATAAGTTCAATAAAAGCACCTCCTGATCTCAGCATCTGTGAAGCCTTTTATATTTTCACGTGGAATGGTTCGAGGACGACCTCGTTTCTTTGGCCTCTTTCGATCTGAGTTGGAGTCACTATCTGACCCAGAATACCGTCTGTTCCTGCTCCGACCCATATTAGCGTTAAAGCTTATCTGTGAACACACACCATAACATTTAATCAAAAGAAAAATTGGCATAAACCTCTAGAGATGCATTCCTCTCATGTTACTCACCTGTTTGGCACAGTTTCTCATTCGTGGCAACATGTAGATCTCCTCCAGCTCCTTCTGTCTTTCCTCTTCCTCCATCCTCCTCCTCTGCTCCTCTGGGATAATGTCATCCCAACTGCGCTGGCTCCGCTCAGAGTCAATGTCTAGCTCCTCATCGTCCATCATGGAGAAGTTGGCAACCTTTAATTGTGAAATGCAGTCCTCTGTTTATGTCTATATAATATAAAACAATGTTTATGTGGCTTTGATAAAATTTTATACCTTGAACTGTGACAACAATTCTTCACCAACAGTTGACGGCCCCGGGTCATTTTCTCTGGTCTCAGCCCTCTTGAGAATTTCATCAATGTCCATTTCCTAAAAGATAACATATCAGTCATTCTTTACATATTTAAATATACAATACTGATTTATAAATTAATACCAATACACACCTGAGGTTCCTGTTCCTCTCCTTCAGGCTCTTTGAAAAGTTCCTCAGCACCAAATTTTAGGATTGCAGACAGTTCCTCCTTGTTAAAAGGGGTTGAACTGTCAAAGCATTTGAACACCATAAGTTCACTGTACTAGTGTCAGTGGGACAACATAAATGTTTCAGGCATAAGTAGCTGATACAAACCTGGAGGGGGCAGAGCCAGTGTGCAACACCGTCTTTCCTGTAGTGTCCATTCTTTGAATAACAAGGTGGTCTAGCACCATTTTCTTCTTTGCCCTTTCTATAATCTCCTCCTCTACAGAGCCCTTTGTAACTAGTCTGTAGATGTTAACCTGTTAAAAAGCCAGGTCAAGTAATACAGTAGAAAATATTTGGTAAATGAAAGTTAATTGTTTCACTAGACTAAATCATGCCTTTCTCCTGGGCGTACAAAGTAAGCAATACACCAACTTGTAGCAACAGCTTGTAATTCATAAATATAAATACTATTTCACACCTGTCTTTTCTGACCAATCCTGTGGGCTCGTGCCTGGGCTTGGAGGTCATTCTGAGGGTTCCAGTCAGAGTCAAATATGACAACAGTATCAGCAGAGGCCAGATTAATACCAAGACCTCCAGCACGTGTCGATAAAAGAAAGCAGAAATCCTGCAAATGACACAAAACTCCCTTTACTGCAATGTTACGCACCTTATGTACATGAATTCTGGCAAATGTTTCCATATTTTTTTTTATCATAGCTGTAAACTTACTTCAGAACCTTCAGCATTGAAGTGGTCCAAGGCTTGTTTCCTCATCTCTCCTTTGATGGAGCCGTCTAGTCGCTGAATTATCATACAATAAAATAAATCAATAAATCATTATCAGGGAGAAGGATCTGTGTGTGTGTGTGTGTGTGTGTGTGTGTGAGAACCTTATTTTGCCCCGCCCACTTTTGTCTCTACATGATCCTAAATTGCAATTTTTTGTGGTGGCAAAAAAACTTGGGAAATGTTTTGCATCTTGAATATGGCATAAAGTCAGTTCATTTGTGAAAAATGTTCAGTTTTCATATACACCAACAAATAACTGCACCAATTCTCTGGGGAAGGGTGATCTGCAGCCCCATACAAAAGTAATACAACTCGAATCATGATGGCGGCACCGACAGCAACTTCCGAAATAAGGTAAACAGTTTTAAATTTACCTGAAACAGAAACTGACGACTGCGCAAATAGTCAGCCAAGATGTCCAGCATCCGTACCATCTGAGAGAATATAAGGACTCTATGGCCTCTCTCCTTTAGTCGCACCAGTAGCTTATCCAGAAGAACCAATTTCCCACTACTACGAATAAGATGCTATGAAGGAAGAAGAAGAATTATTCAATTTTGAACTATAAAGAACTAGGTATATACTTGTGACAGTAGTCACTGATTTGCATCAAATTACAGGAATAGGTTAACATGCCTGTAAAGCTTCAGCTCTGTTGATGAATTCATCCTCTGGAGGTTTGATAAGATAACAATGATTACAACACTTCTTAAGCTCCATCATAATGTTCAGAAAGCCTGATGTGCTGCCCTTTATCCCTTTACTTAGGGCCTTATAGTTTCTTGTCAAAATCCACCTATAATAAAAAAGAAAAGGATGTAAATGTAAAGAAGTGACAAAATATTTTACATTACGAAAAACATAAGAGTAAGGGCTCACTTGTAATACTGCTTTTGAATAGCACTCATCTCCACACGAAGAATCTGCTCTACTTTAGCGGGCAGAGACTTCTCCACATCTTTCTTGACTCTACGCAATAAAAATGGCTCCAGCTCCTTGTGCAGACTGGTGTATCCTGAATCTCTTCCTTTCCCATGTTCCTCTTCAAACCTCTCCCAGGAGTGAAATCTATACAAACAAAAATATGATTATACTGGTGAATACTAAATGCAAATGCTCAATAACCATTTGTGAGTTCTTCCTTTTTGATAGCAGTAGTTGATGTGACTTACTTTTCTGGCATGATGAAATGCAGTAGGGACCAGAGTTCTTTCAAGGAGTTCTGCAAGGGGGTTCCTGTGATCAGAAGCCTGTGATTGGACTTGAAGTCAATCATGGTTTTATAAAGAAGGGAATCGTCGTTCTTCAGACGATGGGCCTCATCAACTCCAATAAAAGCCCAGGGAACACTTCCTAGAAAGGACTAAAAAGCCCCAAAAGATGAAAAGAGTGTAAACATCAGGTTTATGGTGTTCACACAATTTAAATACCTATAACTGACCTTATCCTTGAGAAGAATCTCGTATGTTGTGAGAAGAATGTTGAGTTTTAATCTTTTGGTGTGAACATGCATCCACTCATGAGTTCGAATCTGTAAAACACAGCAAGCAAACATTTTTGCCTTACACAATTAACTATTATTGTAAGTGACATTAAAAAAAAGCAAATGTGCCAGATATCATACCATGTTTCTACTGCTAATGTCTCCAAGATAGACAACAATATTCATCTGAGGTGCCCAGAGTTGGATTTCCCTCTGCCAGGAAGTTAAGGTGGACAGTGGAACCACAAGTAGGAAGGGTCCATAGAGCTGGTGCTCATGGAACAAGTAGTTCAAAAAACAGATGGTCTGGATTGTTTTTCCAAGACCCATTTCATCCGCAAGAATGCAGCTGTTGCCTCTATAAACACAGAGCAGTCATCAAAATCAAGTTAATAAATAACCAATGATTAAAAAAAATCATCAAAGGATCCCTTACTTGCACCAAGAGTGTGCCATCCAGTTCAAACCATCCAGCTGGTAGTCGCGTAGCTCCAGTCCATCTGCTCCTCCAATGTAGGATGGTTGTTTCTTCATGGGTACAAATCTGGGCCTCAGTTTCAGCACCTTTTAAACATAAAATATTTGCGCAATTGTACATTTGAAGATTGCGCAAGGAACTCAGTTACTGCAAACAACAGGGAGTATAGGAGATGCCTTGGGTAAATGTATTCAATACAAAATTCAATACAGAATCCTGTTTTCAGAGCTAAGCAATGTGCCCGTCTCACTTTGATGCTGTGGAAAGAGCCAAACTCCAATACTTAAAATGTGGAACAAGAAAATTACAGTGAAAGAAGAGAGCGAGAGGATGCTAGGGAGGGTCAATGGTGAGAATCTTTGTAACATGCTGGTCTATAGCTGTCCAACTTAAGATGCATTATTCAGATTTTTTTAATGAAAAGTTACGCGTGGTTACTGTATATTTATTATAAATTGAAAATCTAAACAAATGTATAGGTATGAATCTTACCTTACAGTCTCGAGAGGGAATGGTTTTTGATTGGTTTCTGCTCATGTAGTCATCAATGCATTTCTGAAATTTTTTGGCAATAAGAGCACCATCTTCCCAGCTACATTCAGAGTAGGGCAAACCCTGCCACTTGCAGAGGTAGTCTGGATAACCTGCTGCTGATTTCTGGTTTGAATGTCCTACACAACACAAGTTATAATTAATTTTTAAAAATAACTAATTAAAAAAACAACAACTTTAAAATAAAAACTCACCTATGATGCGTTCTACTAGCTGATACTGAGAGTGCAGATCATCCATCAGTTCTTCTTGGCAATTAAAATACTCAATATCTTCAGGTGATGCCGATTTAAGCCTGACACAAAAAGTAGGAAAGAGACATAAGTCACCATAAAAACAGCCAAATCAACTGTAAAAGCAGGACAACTAGTTTGGATTTAGCTAAATCTGACAAAGAGTGTAGTTTTCTTCATTAGTTCACAGGTACAGGGCACATTCATTTCTGTAAATTATGTGCCCATTATCAGCTATACTGCTAGAACTATAGCGCCATATTTGCATACCATTTCTTTTTCTCTTGTTCCTTCTTCTTAAAATTGTCTAATTTCTTCATTCCCTTGACATTTTGCATCTTAAGTGTCTCTTCCGTTTCCCAGGTATTGTGGATATGAGCCCAGTTTTTCCATTTGATCAAATATTGGATGTCACCAGCCTCCTTGTTTGGGTTGAAATTTGCATTTGGATCTCCCTCTTCTTCTACAGTGTATACTGTTGTAGAGCTTCCTGTGGCTGTTACAGACACAAAGCATAATTTGTTGAAGAACATTTTTTCAATAAATTCTAGGAATTAGCCAAATGCCCACTTACCTCCTTTCCGTCCTATTCTACAATCCATTACTTTCTCCAGCGTTTCAAACTCGTCTTCTTCCGGTTGTGGAACATCCTCACCTAGAACTTCAACCAAATCATCTGAGTCCGTCTTCAATTCCTCATCCTCCTTGTAGCTGATGTTGACAGTAGCCTGTCGGCGCAATCCAGCTGACATTGCCTTTTTGTAGCTATCCTCTTCATCTTCAGAAGATGAAGACTTTTGAGGTTTCTTTCTGTGAGTGCTGCTTTTCTTCCCATTGCGAAAATTTGCCCTAAAACAAAACACAATTGACACTCAAAAGTGCGGACTGTGTTTCATGGCAAGTTTAAATTATAGAATGTACTGATAGAGATCGGGCTCAGGCAGAAAGAATTAGGAATTTAAGAGTCACATAGACATAAATGTTGACAAAAATTATGAAAAACACTTGCATTTGTGAACTTACTTCGATGGGGGTTTCTTGCTTTTTGTTTTGTGACTGGGCTCATAATCTGATGCAGTTTCATCACTGTTATCTTCCGCAGAGGAATCTGATCCAGACCCACTGCCAGATCCAGAGCCAGACTCAGAATCAGAGGATCCAGAATTTCTCCTTGTTTTAGATCCACTAGATGAGTCTGAATCATCGCTGCTTGATGAATCCTGTAAGTTTTGATTTAGTTTAGTTCAAATCAACAATTAAACAAAATAGAGATAAGTTTATTTTTTAAACTGAATTGATGCACACCTCATCAGATTCACTGTTTGAGGAGCTTTGTCTCTGCTGTTGCTGCTGTTGCTGCTGCTGTTTCCTGAGCATAGCAGACCTCTGCACTGCCAGGATACTTGGATTGGATTTCCAGAACTACAACAAAAATTAAACTACTTAATTTTTCATAGGTGAACTTTGCTGTTTATGTGTGCCTGTCTATAAATGTACTTTTCTAAGCACACACACACATACGTACAAGATGTACAAACACTTGTATACCTCAGCTCCATCAATGTTAGACTTATTTGGTGGTTCAATCTTCTCTTTAGATTTTTCTGTATCAGAATCTGACTGGCTGCCAGAGTCCGAGCCACTTCCTGAGGCGCTGCTCCCTGATTGGCTGCTGCTGCTTGAGGAGCTTGAGCTGGAGCCAGAGCCTGATCCAGACCCAGAGCCGGATTCATCGTCCGAATTACTACAAAAACAAAGATGTGAATTCATGGATTATTATAAAATTGACTAGACATGCAAGTAAAAAACATTTTGACTTAAACCAATGAAACTGTTTGTCAACAACACCATATTGCCTTTACCTGTTAATTGTCACATTAAAGAAATGATAGATGTGACAGATTATGCCATGGTATACATTGTTATTGGTAAGAGAGCAGTTTAGTCACATTTATGCAGTAACCTGTTCGATCTTAAGTGTTCAAATGAAGCATGGGCATATTTTTTATGTATCTTGAGGCAGCTGGTTGGAGATTTAAGGCCTATAGCCAATAAGTTTAAAGTACAAATATCAGCCAACTGGTCTGACCTTTCACAGCAAGATGGACTCTTGCGATGTCTGCGGGATCACAATCTCACAAGAATCCATCTTGAGATACTCCCCGCTGTAAGGTTTGAAATTCATCCAGCAGCAGGCAGACCAATGACCAAGCAGCATTGAGGTTTGTACGGGGGGAACCAAAACAAACATGGCAACACCAACAGATGTACTTCAACCTATTTTAGCTTTGCACTTTATGCATTTGTGGTCTGAGCTTTTCTCTCAACTGGATGCAACTGTGGGTGTTTGATTTTTCAGCTTGTTCCACTGTTGTGAAACTTTGACAATTCAGATTCAGAGTCGTTCTGCCTTCTGCTTTCAGTGAGACATTCCAGAATACTACACATATCAATCTGGTATGAGTCAGGATACAACCGGTCTACCCCTAATAAAACTCTAAATTCACCCTTAACCCTTTACAGATTTGACCAGAAATATGATTTGCTTACCTTGATTCTCCACTGCTATTGCTGACACTTTCATCCTCGCTGCGCCCAGCCATGCTGATGTTTAGACTCCCCCCCCAGGTCTATGTAATTAACCTGGAAAATTGACAGTTCTCATTAAAAACCACCGTACGATTGTAGATGGAAACTTATGTTAAAACATTGAGACAGTAAATAAAAAGTATGGTGGGCATTCATTGTTTACTATCCTCTAATAGTTTAAATACACATTAGCTTCTTCTAATCTCATAAACCTGTAAGATTAACCTTTTTCAGCACCATAGTTACACAGAGACAATAAGAGACATGTACAAGCAAACCAAAATGAAATAGCCCAACGAAGCTGAGAAAAACACAGAATTTGCTATTTTAATATAATATTACACTTGATATAAATACCACGCTATAAACACACACAAAAAAAATCTGTTGTTTGATGTGACAGATGAAATGTTGAGATTTTATTATGGCTCTGCTACAGAAATATGTTGAGATTTTATAATAGCTCTTGATGTTTTGATGCTATAAAAAATGAGCTAACTTAAGAAGTTAACTTCGTTTTGTTTGTTCACCAACTATAAGGCCTATCGGGCCCGTGTGGATGTAATATTTACTCAAAAGAGGACAATGTCGACTTATCATTTTAAATTAAAACAACTGTTACCTCTGTACGAAATGTTATACTAGGAAAGAATAATCATTCAATATTTTGATCACAGCACAAGCATCGTTCAGATAGAGCATTAGCAGTGCTAACTGTTAGCTCCGAGCTAACTAGCATAGGGTAAGAGCGACGCGAGCATTATTATTGGCGGGGTAGGTATAAGAGATGCAAACAGAGCATCTTTACTAAGCGGTTTAAATGAGACTGTGGAGCATTGCTTGCCACAAAGGAAAAAAACATAAAAAATCCACCACTGAGATTAAAAAATGTTTACAAGTTGACATTAACCCTGCACGTTGACAGAGGGGGCAGGTATTGAGTTGCATTAGCCCTTATGTTTTGTTAGCGAAAACATATACGACAAACATCAATACCAGCAATAAAGTGTTGTACGGCTAGACTGAAATGTTTTGATCCTAGCCAGACATCCAATGTGAAGAATGTTAGCTAGTATAAATGAAAAAAAGCACACTTGTGGCTGAGATGAGCTACCGTTTACATGGTTGTCAAGGAAAGTAACGCAGGCTAACGCAGTGGAGCACGCGGCTAGCACCGTGGCTAACAAAATGCCAAAACTTTGCGCTAGCTCATCTTCGCTAGACACAAGTAATTGGTTGGTTTCGTTTTTCCATTTTCTAAACACAGGACGGAGATAATACGCAAATGTATGTAAAGACAACTGGTCACAGATCAGCGATTTCTTACGCAGTGCTCATAATTTCACCCACATAACCATATGAGCTAACCTAACTTCACCCTCTTCCATCTTGTTTTCATTCGCCGCTCACTTCTCGCGGCTTTTACGCCAATCAACATACAGCGTTGCTTTACTTTCTAACCAAATCATAGATACAATAGCTTTAACTTGAATTTCAGCAACTCGTGTCTTCTGTTACCTGAGAAACTTGTGAAGTGGTTATTTATGTAGTCTTCCTCTCACTTCAGGTGTGCTTCTTTTATCAGTCGTGGTGTTCCAGCTCAAGCTACGTTAGGCTGCTAGCTCCCACCAAGGGAGAGCAGCCACAAACTACCCACTGGTAAGAACTGGTATAATAATGTTTACGCCCAAACTTCAGAAAACTGTAGTCCGCTTCCCCTTTCCTTTTTCACAAGTTATAATACTCGTCGCTGAACTGTGAAAGTAGAACGATGGCATTTCATTCCAGTGTCTTCCTCCGACACCCGGCCTCCGCCATGACGCCGTCGGTTCACTCAACAGGAAACCCCGCACAGTGACGTAACCACGGCGCTGCACATCACCGCCGTCCACTCCTCCACTCCAGCATCTTTAGGTCACCTGAATCGGCTGGCAGGACAGAAGAACTATAAACACACTCCTTTGTTTTGTCTTCAACATGCTGATGTGTGAATAGAGAATTATATAATATTGATATGACGAATACCCCAATGCAGGAGTTAACCACTTTCTTCAAAATACCCCACCGATATGATGTAGCCTGTGATGTGGTATATTTTTGTCACATTTGAAACATCCCTAGGAAGAGTTGACCTTATTTATGAAGCTTGCTACTGGGCAATCAGATTTTTGCACAGTGGCATGCGAACTGAGGTAGGCTTTGTCGACAAACTACAAGAAACCCATCACCATTATTAGTGCAGTTTATTTGCTATGTGTGCATATTATTGGTTGGATGAAGATCTTGAGGGATAATGTGGGCCAATAGAAAGTGGTCCAAGAATCCTGCAGCTCGAGGCGGAAGCGCACATTCTTCTGCATCACCAAACAGCCGTCCGGACCACGTCCAAAGGATAGGAGACCCTACTGGTTTCTGTAGCAGAGCTAGTTGGTTCTGACTTAAGGAGGGAACTCGACAATGTGAGCATGCCAATAATAGGATGCAGGATAAATGGGTTTAGATTGTGATGCTGGAACGTCGATGGCAAAAAGACACCATCCAAGGTGAGAATGACTTTGCATGCATTTTCCCCATACTCTTTTGTATATAGCATAATTTTATTTGGCGTGAGTAGAAAATAAAGCCGAGGAATTATTTAAGTATGGTTATTAAGTGAATAATATATGATTGTAGCGTGCACTGCGGAATAAAGATAAACTGAATGCAAAAGCATACCCCAGTGTCTCATAAAATTTTTTTCCACACAAGGGCAGATATTGCCCAATGTCTTGGGATTTAAAAATATATAGCCCTAAATTTTATAAACAAATTTCACTGATCTTGCAAGTGCCCTCCACATGACATATTAACACACTTTAGTCAGTCTTTATTTAAAGGTGCAACTTCTCTGGTGGAAGTTCCACCACCTGCTTGTCTCTATGGAGATATTATTGCCAGTATGTTCAACTATATGGTATTATGCTGTCCTATAAGAGCCATCAAACCAAGTTACAAGTCCGTACTGTGAGGAGGTGCCTCAGCTCTCCGGACGAATGTTTGACAATGTCTTTTTGAGCAATAAAACCCCTGTTATGAAAGAAATGCAAGATATATATATATAGGCTATGTTTAATGCCAGACTGTGGAACATTCTGCAAGCTGCAGTAACCAGCCATAACTAATTAAGGGCTTGTAGCCAGGCATAGACAGACCAAGAGTAACAAGAAAAGAAAAAAAAAGCCTGGACCCAAAACCATGTTTTACTGGAGCAGTTTGAAGACATATGTTTTGATCTTTTTTACGCACAGTCTGGAAGAATTATCCTAATGCTGATATTACTATTACAAGTAGTGTAGCTGAACTGGTGAATGTTTTGTAAGAAACATTTTTTTCCACAAGGTGGAGACACTCTGATAGTGAAAGTGCTCATTTGGTGCATAGAGTGAGCCAACCACATGTGTAACGAAATATTTATAACATCCAATAGATGCTATTTGTCTTCACATCCTTTGTTAACAATATATGTACATACAATGGAAATGGAAATGCAGTCTACTGTTTTCAGCTTCAAGATCAACTGTAATGATTGAAACCATAGGCTACATGCCTTAAATGTCACAGTATTGCACAACAGTTCCAAGGCTAAGAAAGTGGAGAGAGCTTTGGCACAAAATGTTTTAACTGCTCCACGTACTTAGAAATGCAACAAAAATGCACAGAACACACTGAACAGAGTGGTTTAAATTATACATGCTACAAATATTGTCTGAATAAAAAGAAGGTTCATCAATGCATATAGTTTCATTATTGCATTATTTACAAATAATGTAGTTTTATTACATTACATTAAGACTTAATTAATGGCTGCACTTAGTAAATTTTAATAAACTCAATGTCATTATGTTACTCCTGATATATATATATATATATAATTTAAAAAAAAACTCTTGATATGATGAGTTTTAGACCTATGTGACAGCAGTCTAACAAATGGCATCATTCTACTCCGTGTCATTTCCTGTGTGTCGCAGATGTGTTGGTCAGTGCTCAACTTAAATGGGGAAGTTAAAACTTAAATTCTCAAGGAAGTTGCTAAATTAAGGAAGTTTGGACGAGCGCAGACACTGTTTGCTGCGGATCAGAACAAACCAGTCTGAGGCCTGCTGTTGCCCGGAAACCTCTGAACCATTTATGATATTTGTGCTCTGTTTGACTGAAGGTCATTCTGCTGGAGATGTGGTGATAGAAGTTTGCCCAAAAAGGAGCTACTATTTGCTACCAAAACGGTGAGAAAGTACTTTTCAGTATCTGTAACTGGCTTAAAAAATATTCAGGTTTAATATAATAACAGTAGTACATATATAGAATTTTCACATGTTTTTCTATATGTTACTTACCTTAAAAATATTGTTAGTAAATCAGTCATAGATTATAATTTTTATCAGATTGATCTTGAAAATCTTGATCAGGGGCATGGACAGCATTGTTTTTTATAAATTAGATTAAATGTGTTTTGTTTATAATATTATATATAACGCATGCAAAACTAACATAAAACATTTGTTTACTTACACCACATTATTCAGGATGAATTTTAATTTGAAATTGTTTTTTCCTACATAATAAATTTTTCTGTACAACATTATTGTAGGCATTGTTTGAGATACTAAATAATTTTATTTAGGGCTCAAATTAAACATTTCAAATTTAGTTAGTTAGTATAAGAATTATTAAGAACAAGAAATATTTATATTGTTACTTTTCCCCAAATTCACATTTTGAATTGATTAGTATTTTTTAAAGCAGTTTTTCTTAGGTGAACAGTTGTAAAACGTCCATCTCTGTAGTAAGCATTGAAAATGACAAATATGATGTGATATAGGGATCATTGTCATTGCTGTGACTGCTTGATATTTTGAGATATAAGCTTCAATATTTCATCATAATGCTCTTTCTTTGTGATCTCTTTTCTGGCATATATCAGTCCCACCTGCTGCGAAACACCCTTACAGCATGATGCTACTGCCTCCATATTTAGTTTTCTTTGTCTTGTATGGGCTCTCAAATTTTGTATTTCTTTATAAACCATTGCAATAGAGTGACAAACTGACAAAAACAAATTTGGTGTTATCTAATTACAGTTACACAGCCATTCTTTTTAAATCTTTCACGCATTTTGTAGAAATTTTGTAGTCATAATACTCACAAAGTAATTTAATATAATAATTGGCCATTTTGTAGAGCAAACTTCTGAAAAGACACCAAAATTACCATTATTAGTGTCCCATACAGATACTTACACTTCTTTATACACTTTTTTTTTTCTGAAATGAGTTTCATTTGATAATGTTTAAGTAGAGAGTGTACTGCCGCTGCCACAGCAGTTTTTGAGCAACTAAGGTGTGCTGTTATTTTAAAAAACCCTCTGTAGTATGTTTCTTTGTGGAGTTTGAAATTAATTAGTCAATTAAATCATTATATCTACAAGGTCTTTCGTCTTTATTCCAGAGTTGATTACACATTTCAGGTAGAAAGAATTTGCCTCCTTTTTGACCATTATGAAATCTTATATTGTTTGTACTTGTCTGAAGCGACACCCTGAGGAATAGACAACTTTATGAATAGTGGAGGTCCATGACTCTCCCTGATTTCTTGGTTAATTTTCCTAAGATTTCTTCAGTATTTATTTATTGTAACATCAGTATCTAGAAGAACTTTTGACAATTCAGGTTCCACAAAAATTTTATTAATAATAGAAAAGAAATAAATACAGGCAATTTATCAATAAAATCAAATAGTATAAAAATATTATACACTTATAAACTCTCATTTCTCAGTGTCATTCTTTCTCAGCGCCCCCCTCCCATATTCTCACTACATCGCATACACACACTGTTTACACAATATATTTTAATAAGCATTCTGTTCACTATACTACTACTGTTCATGTGATACTATTGATGTTCTCTTGTATCGTAGAAAACTCGTTCTGGGGCAGGATCCACTATGGCTGATGTGGTGAATACACTGCCTTTCTTCTATGGCAGCATCACCAGAGAAGAGGCAGAGGAATACCTTCGACAGGCCGGGCTGGGTAATGGGCTCTACCTGTTGCGACAGAGTAGAAACTTTCTTGGTGGGTTTGCCCTCTCTGTGGCCTATGCAGGACGGTGCTACCACTACACCATCGAGAGAGAACCTAGAGAAACGTACGCTATTGCAGGGGGCAAAAGCCATAGAAGCCCCCAGGACGTGATTGACTACCACTCCCAGGAGTGTGATGGCCTTGTGTGTCTGCTCAAGAAACCCTGCAACCGCCCCAAGAACATGCAGCCCAAAGTCGGAGCATTCGATGACCTGAAAGAAAAACTGATTCGAGAGTTTGTGAAGCAGACATGGAATTTGCAGGTCTGTGTTCACCATTAAACATTTAATGATCATTCAGTGTCTGTAAGTCATGACAATACACAGCACAAATGGAATTTGTATTTCCTCCTGGATCAGTAAAGTATTTATCTATCTACCTGCACATACCTACAGTTATTTTAATTTTAATTTGTTTGAGCAACATGCCTGTATAAGATACATTACAAACACAAAGATATATGTACATGTATATATGTTGATAGTGTTGTTGGTGCTCAAAAGGAGTAGCTTGAAGTTTAAAAAACTTATCGATAGTGATTATTACTCAGGCCTAAAGTGTGTGTCTGTTTTAGGGTGCTGCATTGGAACAGGCCATCATTAGTCAGCGACCACAGTTAGAGAAAGTCATTGCTACAAAAGCCCACGAGAGAATGCCCTGGTTTCATGAAAAAATAACTCGAGAGGAGTCTGAGTCCAGGCTCCAAAATGGCTCCCGCACAAATGGAAAGTTCTTGTAAGTTTCTAGAATAATCTTGTTAAGTGATATACTTACCCTAACCCTTGTATTTGTGATGTTTTTTTCACCATATTATAAAGGTTTTCCCTCATCATTGACATACTGAAAGTTGTATTTAGATTGATTCGTGTATGTTTGTATAAACCTGTATTGTCCTGCTTTTGATGCACAAGTTTTATAAATATGTCAGTTCTGACCTACCCCCATTGCCACTCACTTGCCTTGTACTCAGTCACTTTAGACCATTATTGTGATCAACAGTTAGCTAAATGTAAAATAATGATCTGCTTGTTTAAGTAGGTAAATAGTTGGTATCTTGGCTATCCAATGGTTGTCAGTCTATATATTTAGCAGCTGTTGTACTTAAAGGCAATGGTCTGTGCTCACGCTCATACAGTCACACTGTGGTTTCCGCTCTGGCAGTTAGCGACACTTCCTGAAGTAGCCCAACAAGAAAAAGAATGACATTTCACAAAAATCTTAGTATATAAAAGTAGAAAAAAGAAGAAAAAAAGAAAAGAAACATAAAAAATATATACTGCTAAAAACACTTAAATAGTCCTAATATGGAATTACATTTTAGGTTTTAAGAAAACTGTATTATGAACTAAAGCTTATGAGTTATTTGTTTGTTATGAATTGTATGCTACTATTTTAAGTCTCTTTGTATATGGCTCATCAAGATTACAGTAAAATATGTTATTTTTACCTACAGTGAAAAGAGAAGTCTTCGTCACACATAGCTGGTGGGGTGTGAAGAGTAACACACAGAGAACACTTCATGCAAACAACTTTACTGAATGTCTAAATTAAAATTTTGGAATAGTAACCATATGCTTATATTTTACGTATTCTTTCCTAAGTCACTTTATGGTTTATTAGATACTTAGTCAAATAAAATTGTTTTGACAAAGTCCAAATTTGTTTTTCAAAGCTCACAGGTTACAGGCTGGGCCTTTGTTCTGTATTTATTTTTGCTTCTGTCTGCTGCAGGATCCGACAAAGAGACATGAATGGGTCCTTCGCCCTGTGCTTATTCCATGATGGGAATGTCATGCATTACCGCATTGATAAGGACCAGGCTGGCAAACTCTCTATACCTGATGGGAAAAAGTTTGACACCATTTGGCAGGTATACGCACTGGCAAATGTATTTTAGTTCATGAATTGCTTAAAGGACCTACATTACACTATTTTCTGATCTATGTAATGATGCTGTTTCCTCATCAAAAACATAGCTGGGGTTATGTTGTGTTTTATTCACACATGTTTAACACAAAAACCCTGCATGGTTCTCTCAAACAGAAAACACTCTCTTTCACCTTGTGATGTCATGTGGTAGTACAGGAAGTACTCCACTGTGTTTTTAAACCCCATACACCTTCATTAGAACTGTTTAGGTAATTTTAGTATATATACCACGTACAACTAATAATTACCATTAATAATTTTTTGTCTCAGCTGGTAGAGCACTACTCGTACAAACCAGATGGGCTTTTGCATGTTCTGACGGACCCTTGTTCACGACCAGGGGGAGACAATGGTAAAGACAAATAATTACTTTAAATATTCATAAGTGTAACTATGTTTTATCTCACATCTGCTGGTTTGATTTGCAGCTCATATGGGATTGCCACTAATCCCACAACCTCACCTCACCTCAAATTCTTTTGTAAGTAACTATTAGACTTTTTTAGAGAGTACTATAAATTATACCATGACGTAATGAAAGGCCATTGAAATATATAGCAGTATCTAAAATGTTTGTATCGTATGGACACATTTATTATAATTAACATTTAAAGATGCCCATGCACCATGTACTACTTCAATTAAGCATTATTATTGTAATTAAAATATATAATTGCCTCATATGTATACAGTATATGTTTATATTTGAAAGACAATTAATTGTCACCAACTCTATATGAACCTTAATGAATTCATGGTGAATGTAATATTTAAATTTTTAAAAAGTCATTCTCCAGGTTGCTCACTAATCACTTCTTTAACTTTTGTTTTTTAGAGAAATGCAGCAGGTGGATTTTTTGATAAAATCAAGAACCTGCCTGGCCTACCAAAGGTGCACTTACACACATGCTTTCTAAACCGACCGATAACCTCCTTAGCTCCTGTTCACTGCTTATGTAGTCTATGCACTGATATGGGAATCTCTCAGAAAAGTATTCACCCCATCTACAGGTCATTCAGTGTCATAACAAACAATGTATGATTGAATGCAATTTATAGTTTTTTTATTTAAGTGATTTACAAGCAGAAGCCTTAAAAAGTTGAATATATTTCCTTATTTAGACAGAGAGAGACACACTGAGATATAGGACACATAAGTGTGGCACAGTATTGACAGCAAAAGATAGGATATGTAATTTTAACAACAGATGTGGCTCTGACTGTAAAAGTTGGTCATTCAGTTTATTTTTGTGTAACCTAAATTTACAACTGTAGTCAGCTTGTAAGGGTCAATAAAATAGATGATTCAGCCAACGGTAAGGTAGAAAATCTGCCTGTCTGTCATTGGTCAATAAGATACCGATTAACCAACGTTTACATGAAACAAACAAACACTGTCCCAGCACATCTCTTATCCTTAGAAACTCCATCCCAGCAAAGAAAACCTCAACAACAACAACAAAAAGGACAGTGAAGGCAGACTGTAGATGAGCCCAGGACATGTTTTAAAACATATTTTACATGCATGTTGCGTCTGAAATGTTCTAAACTGAATGTTCTGTTTATTATTATAATATTTAAAGCAACACAGTAACTTCTTGGAAGCGGAATGTCACCTGCATGATTCAATGGAGAAAAAAAGTGGCATAATAAGAAGAAAAAAGTTAAGATTTTGAAACATTGGGCCTCATTCCTGAAGTGTTCTTTTGAACAAATTTGTACGTACTTGGCATTCACAAAATGTTTTCTTAACTGAAAAAGTCCTTTTTGAAGAACAAATCCTACTAACAGTCAGGAGCACTCGTAAGAACAAAAATTCTGCTGTAGAACATTATTACTCTGATAATGCAACAAAAAATTGCATTTCTTTATGATTTTAAGTTATATATTTTCTTTGAGAGCTTTAAATCACTGCTGAAGCTGTAAAACAGGTAACAGAGGCACACTTCACCTAGCTTTGTCATTCTTTGTCATCCTACATATGATTTTTTATGTAAATTAAATGTAAATGAGCGCTTTCTTGTTTGTAGCTACATATTGGTAAATTAGCTGCTTAGAACAGTTTGTGAATCTAGTGGAAATTCTGTCAGCATCTTGAAGTGGCAGTTATGAAAATCTTTTAAGAAAACATTCATGAATGAGGCCCATTTTTTTATAGAGATAGATTTAGATTGAGATAGATATTCCATACTGAGGAAGATAAGCAAATGAACAACATTTTCATGGAAACAAGCAGGAGGAGGCCCTCCTCCAGGCCAATTAAGAGTCAGATTTGGAAAATGTGCAGGTTCGCTCACAGTTTACTGTGACATATGTTTTTCAGTGCTGCAAAAAAAAAAAATGAAGTGACGCATTAACCTCAATGTCATTAAACACACCATTTACTCTGCTTCAGAAACGCCCATCTCAGCGTTCTACCTCCAATGATGACAATGACTATGTCTTCAAAGCCTTGCCAATGGACTCAGGCACCTTTGAAAGTCCTTATGCAGACCCCGAAGAACTCAGAAGCTTCACAGTCGATCGTAACCAGCTCCTTTTAGAAGATGGAGAACTGGGCTCAGGAAACTTTGGCACAGTTATCAAAGGCATCTACAAAATGAGAAAGTATGAATTGTGAAACAAAACTGAATTGTGAAACTATTCAAACTATGACAGATCTGTTTTACCCATTTGTCTCAAATAACTCTGCCTTAGGACAGATAAACCGGTTGCAGTGAAAATATTAAAGAATGACGACAGTAACCCCGCAGTGCGAGAGGAGATGCTACGGGAAGCAAACGTGATGCAGCAGTTGGATAATCCGTACATCGTCCGCATGATCGGCATCTGTGAAGCCGAGAACCTCATGCTGGTCATGGAGCTTGCTGAGCTAGGACCACTGCACAAGTTTCTGCAAAAAAACAAGTTAGAAATCTAGCAGCTTATTATACAACACGTACCAAAATGTTTGAGTGTGAAGTGACCTTACATGTGTTGTTACAATCTTATATTTGCTAAATCAGCAACTGAAAACCAGGTTTTTAATATTCACACAAGGTGCATCTCAACTCAGAATCTACAGTAGGCACAGCTTTTAAATTGCTTTATAAACAATATTTAAAGCTGAAAAAGATGAACTATCCATATGCAACACAACATCTTTTCACAAGCCTAAATAATGCATACTACCCTCAAACCTTTATGTGATCTCTTGTCTTCATAGAACCACAACATTAAAGAACATCACAGAATTGGTCCACCAGGTGTCCATGGGCATGAAGTACTTGGAGGAGCATAACTTTGTCCACCGGGACCTTGCAGCCAGGAATGTTCTGCTTGTCACTCAGCACTATGCAAAAATCAGTGACTTTGGCCTTTCCAAAGCTGTTGGTGAGGATCAGAACTACTATTTGGTAAATGATTATTTATATCTATCTATCAGTGCATATGGACCGAAATGATAAGCCCACTGTCTGCTGACTGTTTGTTTTTGATCACAGGCCAAAGGACATGGCAAGTGGCCAGTAAAGTGGTATGCTCCTGAATGCATCAACTTTTTCAAATTTTCATCCAAAAGTGACGTATGTGGAGCTTCGGGGTTCTCATGTGGGAAGCCTTTTCTCTCGGACAGAAACCATACAAGGTTCATAATCTAAAGTGCATACTTCTTTATAACAACATATACATAAATGAGCTAAAAATAATGTTGTTTCTTAGGGAATGAGAGGAAATGATGTAATGCAGATGATTGAAAGTGGTGGACGCATGGAGGCGCCAGCAAATTGTCCTCCAGAGATGTACGATCTCATGAGGACCTGCTGGACCTACAAGTATGACCACTGCTCTCAAATTTATGTTTTAATTTAGCTCATGATTATATGCCAGTGGTTAATAATGTATTAATATATCTTCTGGTGTCTTGACAGGGCTGAAGAGAGACCATCTTTTGCTGTGGTTGAGCCAAGATTAAGAGAGTATTACTATGATATTTCACAGTGATCGGTGGTGGCTACTTTTATGCAAACTCTATCTCTATCTAAGATTTTAAATGAAATGCTATTGTAATATACTGTCAAATGCTTGTAAGTATTGAAGTACACATACAATAAACTATTTTTTAAAACTTTTCAAATGTAATTGCCTCATTTTGTCCATTAGAGGGAAGCATTGTAGCATAGTATAACAACGGGAAAACAATACACTTTTTAAGCCTGAGTCACACTGAGGTCTGGCCTGAACAACTGCAACATTTACAGCATCTATACATTTTGAACATCCTTTTGCTTTTTCATGACAATAGCTAACTTTTATGTAAACTGTTATACATATGTGAACTGATTTTGATTAGAACTGCTGTCATAAGACATGCTACATTACAATGAATGTGCTATTACATGCATAAACTATAGCTAGACCCAGCAGAAACTACTACGACACTACAAGTTATCTTCCATATATGAAAGATCATATTGTTTACAGCTCTCTGTATTTCACTAGGCCTCAGACTGTATATATAAAATTGTTTTATAAAAAAAATAAATAAATAAATAAATAATAATAATAATAAAATACAGTCTATGGGCATGTCTTTAATTTCTTTGCCTAACTTGTCCTTTTGTGAATCCAAACTTGCCGAACAAGCAGAAGTTGGTAGATTTGTTAATATTTGCATAATACTGATCATTTTTATGTACAAGGCACACATCCATATTAGACAAATTAGATATTTGAAACATTTACAATGGAATAAAATAATAACTAGACATAATGTTGTTTGACTACAATCAGAAAAAATATGCAATCAGTATACATTAAGTCAATATAATAATAAATCTAATCTAGTATAATCTAATCTAATAAGAAATTTGAGCAAATTTATGGCTGTCCTAAAAAAAGAAATTGTTTTGCTAAGACAGTGAAACCCATAATAGTACATTTTACTATTTTCATTTTTATCTTTATTTGTTATATTTGTATGTGTACAAATTATTATTCAAATACAAATATACACCTGGAAATACCAGGTGCCACAGCAGGGTAACACTGGCTTGAGTGCTAGTTGCAACTGTTGATGTGTCCTTGGGCAAAACACTTCACCCACCTTGCCTAGTATGAGAGTGTGTGTGCGTGTGTGTGCGTGTGCGTGTGTGTGTGTGTGTGTGCGTGTGAGTGTGTGTAAGTGGTGGTTGAAGAGGCAAATGGCACAGATTAGCAACCTCGCTTTTGTGAATCTATGTGGCTACAAATATCTTACCACCACAAAGTACAGAGTGGGTGAATACCAATGGATACAACTTCAAGTATCTGGAAAAGCACTACATAAGACTATAAGTATTATTATTATTAAATGGTTGAGAACTCAAACCAACTGTTAAAGCACACAAATAGGTAAATATTTTGTATTACTATATTTCTTTTTTATTTTTACTTGTACATATACATTTTTATAATTATGACACCATTCTGTTGCTATTCTTGCTACTTATATTGAGGTTATATTTACCATTTCTGTTTTTGCTCTTTGTTACTATATTGTATTATGATGAGTGAGCTACTGTGTCCACATAATTTCCCTTGTGGATCAAGCTGATTTAAGTCCAAATAGAGAGCCCCCAGAAGGTACAGAGTGCAGTGAGGGTTTTACACGTGATATTTCCCATATGAATCTGGTGGGGTGCTCCTCAGTATTGGGGAACCGGTCTTTTTTTACGCAACCCTGCTTTGTGGTGGGATTCTTCCGGCTGAGTGCTGGACATCTGCCGGAAGGAGGTGAGCCACAGTGGGGATGTGCAGCCTGTGTCTCTATCAGAGGAGCAGCATGAAGCCACAGGGCAGGCCTGCTCACAACCGCCACCGGGGCCCCAACAGTCACAGTCTATATGTGGACTTATGATAGGCTTTAACCCAAAACAACTGCACTACAGCTATCAACCACCAACTGTTGATTTGGTCTTCATTGATCTTACCACTAAATTTAGCAAGAAGTAGTTGGAACTGTAGATGCATTACTAGCCACTCCAGAAACATTGCAGATGACACACTGCTTCATGCACAGAGGTCCAGATGTAATAAAGCGCTGGGTTTGACTTTATTGTATTTTCGTTAATTTCCCACATACATTTTTGTGTTTTGTGACTTTTGCCTCAGAAACTATAGAATTATTATTGCATTAAAAAACATTTAACAATGTCTTGGATAATGGTAAAATAAGTCATGTAGAACTGAGTAATTCTAGGCAACTTCATTTGTAATAATACTTAGACAGGTAAACTATAGTATTTAACAGATGACAATGACACAAGTGCGTCAGTGTTCTTTTATTTTAACTCTGACAGAGAGACAGAGTAAATCAAATGTTTGAGGTTTGACCCATTCACATATTGTTGCAAATTTAACTCCAGACATCCCATTGCTTTGAAGGAATATCATTGTCCAAATAGATTAGAATAGGGAGACCAGGGTAACAATACAATTAGAGGATACTTTATGAGGGTTAACTGACATGGGTCGGGTGCACTGCTGCATGCATATTTAGTATTTCTGATAAAATTATGTAAATCATGTGTTTTAGAGGCATTGCACAAGTAGATTTATTAATGTCATTTTGCAAGTGATGCATTAGGACTGTTTGTAAACATAGTAAAAAAAAATAACTCAGCAGCAAATCTTGTATGATCTGAACTGCTTAAATGTAACAATGTGATGTATTAAATAAAATGGCTGCTGAAGGCACAGGTGCTTACATTGTGTAAGCCTTTATTTGGAAATATATAAGAAAACATATGTGTAGCAGACAAGTGAGACATGACAAAGCAAAATAGTGATATAAGTAATATGAACAATAACAATAAAATGTCAAATTTGTATTATTAACGATCATTATAGATGGTCTATCATTAGAGACGTGTATGCATTTTATGACATGTTATTGGGTAACAAGGCGTTGCATTTCTGAAAATCTGATCCATGCAGAGACTACTGTTGTTATTCAGTCAAACTATAAAGATGAATGTGTTGCCTCATGCTGAGTAACCCAGAGATGAAGGTTATAATTTGCAGTAGATATTGTTAATGACTAAATGTACAGCAGTTTTATTAATAGTGTACTGCATTCATTAGTTCTACATACAATCCATCAGCCCTCAAAGCTTTACTGGACTAAACCCCATATCATAGCCACAGTCCTGATTCTGCAAACTTCACCTGGTTAGTGTACCTGTTATCTTATTGTCATGTGACGTGTCACCCTAACTATCTCTAGAGCAGAGGTACACGGGGTGAGCAGATAGGCACAACTCAGTGTGCACTTTGAGGGGGTCTCCTCACTCCCCTTTGTAGAGAGGACGCCTTTTCTCTCTGAAAGCAGCCAAACCTTCCAATCTGTCTTTAGTTGGGATCACCTTGAACCAAAGTATCAGTTATATACTGTTTGAATTCTATTATGCTGTTCACACCAAACACAACAGATATACTAACCTGGGAGTAGCAGGCCTCTTCTATTGCCAGTCCAGTTGACAAATCAACCTAGTTATGGTCCAAATGTAGAAGAAAATTAATTTTGAATGCACATCATATTTTCTTACTCTGCCTGCTGTCACTTACCTCCATGCCCTGGTTGATAGCCAGTTTTGCCATTCTTACAGCAATGGGACCCTATGGCAACATAACTGAATAATAAACTACTGATAATAAGTTGTTGTTTTTTTTTTCTGAGCACATGTGAAGGTGACGTACCTGAGGGTTAATCTCTCTAGCAAGCTCCAGTGCCCGTACATATGCAGCGTCTCCACTCTCGTTCTGCTCTACTGAATGGTTGACGAGCCCCAAACGACAGGCCTCTACTCCATCTATGACCTTTGCAGCAAAAATTAGCTCCTTGGCAAGAGAAACACCAACAGCCCGAGGAAGACGCTGTGTACCCCCTACACGAGATATACACAACATGTTTACACTAAAGCTGGTTCATTCATTCAGTTCCTTTATTGTCATTGTCATATAAAATAACAATGAAATTATGTTAGCGCATCATCACAACTGCACAGTATATTAAAAGTGCAAAATAGTGCACTCTGTAAACATTAGCATACAGTGCAATAATAATATCAGTTCAGGAACAAAGTATGGTAAACATGGGGGGGGGTCAAATTGTGCATTTTAAATGTCCTGTTGCAGCAACACAAGGTCCAGTTCACAATTATTGTAGTGGGTGGGATATGGTTTACTGATCGTAGGAGGAGGGGAGAGAGTGGGGTGAGACACTGTTTAGAAGCCTCACTGCCTAAGGGTTCAGGCTGTGGGGCAGTCTAGATATTCTGGCATATATATGGTTACGTTCAGGAAATAGTGTCAGTATGGATTATGAAGTCTCACCAGCTCCTGGGATAATCGCCAGTTTGGTTTCCACCAGTCCCATTTTGGCAGAGTTGGCTGTTACACACAAGACATAAACCAAATAAATTCACTTTTTTTTAAATCCATGAAAAACATGATGAATTTAACTGATAAATGGGTCTCATTTTGTAACATTGATTGTATTAATTTATACTACTTGAACATGACATTGTACTTATTATGTACTTCGTACTTATCATACCAGCAATCCTGATGTCACAAGCAAGGGCCATTTCCAAACCTCCTCCTAACGCAGCTCCATCAATTGCAGCAATAATCGGCATTGGCAAGTTACCTGTAACAAAGACCACCAATGTGTAACCAATGTGTCACCTTTTGATAATATAGTAAATATCTGAAAGTTATGGTAACTTCAGAAAGTAACCATAACCTAATTTTTACCCAGTTCAGTGATAAGTGCTCTTGCTTTTGATACAAATGGACCTACTTCGCTTTGGTGCATCTTAGCTCTCTCCTTCAAATCTGCACCTGCACATCAGGCAAAGAGTGATCATTACTGATTGATGATATTGTTTATTTGATAAGAATCTAGGCCAATGACAAAAATGTCAATAATAATTTACCTGCACAAAAAATTCCAGGAACAACACTACACAGGATCACACTTCGCACTTTGTTGTTCTTTTTTATATCTTCCACAGCATCATACATCTGAGAACACAAACAGATCAGATAAATCGAAACAACAATCAGCGTGAAGCCTTTTTTTAAGCAACTAACCATTTTAACAAGATTTTTGCTGATGGCATTTTTTGCTTTGGGTCTGTTTAATCCAACAACAACAATTCCTGAAAAACAAAAGATTTAGTTTTACTGAAGTTTGACTGAATGAATGTAGCCCTAGGTCCTATGCTTAATTTTAACATACTACAATGCTTACTTACTATATTAACGTTGTCTGTGCTTTGCAATTTTCATAGTATTCACTTGAATATACTATTATTTTGTTTATACAAGCCAGCCTGTCTCTAATAGTAAAAGAGTAGCCTACGTGATCTGAATATTAACCCGGATATGTGGATTTTTGCTTGGTCTCTTGATCTTTACGGAGGCGTGGCATGATGGCACTGTTTACAGCACGTAAACCTTTTCAGCTGAAACGTAATATTTTGAAATGGAAGTGAACTTTATTTACCGGCGTCTTCTCCATCCAAATACCTGACGCGCAGGTCATCCTTTGAATCGGAGCTGTAGTGCCTCATCGAGGCTCTGGTCCACGCCAAAGCGGACATCTCCGGTTCTTTACTTCCAAGACCGCAGAACCGGGGTCTGTAACAAACCGTCCCGAGCCGACAAACACTATCCCGGTCGGCTGCATGCCCTCGGAAAGCCTGCAGTAAGACTCTGCGTCCCACCAGCGCCGCCATACTGAAGCGCTGTAAAAGCTTTTGACTTTCAACTTTGAACCCTGTGACGCAGCCGGGCCACGTGATTCCTCTCTACAATAGACTAAACTTCTTATGTATGTGATGCAAATAATGTCTAAATAGGAGTTAGGGGGTCACTTATTGCTGATTTTCACTCAAGTTTAAAATTCTTACTGTGTGTGTGTGTGTGTGTGTGTGTGTGTGTGTGTGTGTGTAAATAACTGGCCTATATTAATGAAATCGTTCTAAAGCTTCCTTTTTCTGTAAAAAAAATAAAACAAAATACATAGACCAGAAATATATGAGGTTTACATTTTAGTACCAACTCATTAAGTTTATAATAGAACTACACCATTACTTCGGTATGTTTCTAAACAAGGACTATACCCAAATGAGGACAAATATGCAGATAAAAAGTGACTCAGTTGAACTGCCAAAGAACATACCACCAAGCTAGTCGGTTTGTGAATCATCGCACTGGGCTTTATAAATAACTGGTATATTTCTATAACAAGTGACAACAAAAAAGTTACAATGCATTTCATTTATTGTAAACAAAAACTTACCAATACAAGTCTTAAGTGCCCAGATACAAGTTGCTGAACATTAGGCTGCTGGGTGAATTCTTCATGTTCCACCAAAATTGTACAAAGTGTGGAAACAAAGGCACACACACACACACAGCTAAATAGAATAGAAGTGATGTAATTATGAATAATGTCTAAAAGAGCAATTGACATTGATGATGAAAACTAGCAATTGTAAATAAAGATGACACAGAAAATGGTAGCATGTTGATAAACATCAGTCCCAGCTCAGTGCCACCACTTTAATTCACGTGCATCACCCTGCAAAATGAAACCAACAATACAAAACAACATAAAACAAAACTTGCTGTTTGGCAATATTTAGGGTTCCTTTCAAATAAAAATACCGAACCAGTGCAGAAGGCAACGCTTTTTAAAAAACAAAAAATAAAGATTAAAGCTAAAAGTTTAAACTCCATCAGAGAGCACACCATGTCAGTTAATCTGTCTTTGACAAGGCCATGAGTGCTAAACGCAGAGTGACAGCCACGAGTTTTCCCATTAAATACATGTAAATGTAACATAAAGAGGTGTTCCTGAAAGTGTCCTAAAAATTTTTTAATCCGGTTAACACATATCTGAGAAACTAATATAAAGGTTTGTAATTTCACAGAATTTGCTTTAAGGCAAAGATTGGCCAGGCTGTGAGTCAACTGCCTCTTATTAACACAGTGGTTTGTGATACTAGAGCCTTATGCTACTATAGGAAGCTCCACAAAAACGAGAGGGTGTTACTAAAGGTGTGTTCAGCATTCTGACAATGTGGTCAACTAAAGCACAGTACAAAGTTGCGCACATCAGTGCCCTCCACACACAATAGTGAATAAATCTATACATTCTAAAATTATGGTGGTATGGTTAACTTTTTTGTAGGTTCATCATCAAAACAAAACTGAAAATGTACCTGTTTGCATGAACCTTGTATAAACCACATGACATGGAGTGTGATTGCAAATTGTGAAAATGCAAAAACACAATATTTAGTTATTTCAAGGGATTTCCTAATTGTGCATGGTGTTCAGTGGCACCTTTGGCAGTCTCTATCACAGAATTCTGGCGCCCTGCAATCAGGTTTGCTTCATCATTGTCTGAGTGTGCATAGGAGCCATTTGAACTGGGGCTTGGGGTCAGCGTCTCTGTCTCATCTTTATGCCACGACTCAGACTGCTGGGTCCAGTTATGCATATGATTCACCTGCACAGACAAATCACACATGGATGATGTAGGGCAGTCCTGAGTAGTCTGGTAACTTTCCCCATTGGTGTGGTTAGAGGACTTTCCAGAAGCCTCATATTCTGGGTCAATGGCTTCCACTTTGATTTGGATGGTCCTACATTTTATTCGTAGTTTGTGCGGTAAAGCAGATCCTGAATTTGCATCTGGCACTTTGTGCGTGGACACAATGACACTTGTGGGGTCAGCTGGCAGCCCTTTGGGTACCTGCTGCTCCTCTTCACCATCCGAAGACTTACTCACAGCTCCATCCTCGGAGCTTCCAGGGGAGTCACTGGACGAGCGGTTCATCTGCACAAATGAAGGGGCCTGTGGGTAGTTTACATTCAAAGGACTGGTCATGTACGCCCTGAACATGTCATAAGGACTATTGCGCTCCTGTGTGTAGCTCCCTGCTGGTTCCTGCTTTACACCTGAAGCCCGACAAATATTCAGGCTGTCCTCAGCAGCTGTACTTGTCTCAGTCCTATCAGGTAAAAGACTGTGTGGCGAATGCTTAATGACAGATATGCAGCTGCTGCGTATGTGAGGCTCTGTGTCCCTGCTGGAGGGACTCTGGCTACTACATTGGGTTACAAACTCCTGATAAAGGTTTGCACTAGTTGCACTGGCTAGTTTTTGCACTTCCTGTGTGTAGGCTGATGAGCTAAGCAGACCAAACTTTAGCTTGAGAGACAACAGCTCTGCCTTTAGAGAAGCATTCTCCTCCCCCAAGGCCAGCAGCTTGTTCTCCAGCACCATGTCGTTGATGCGGCGCTTTTCTCTTGAGCGCTTGGCGGCCTCATTGTTTTTGCGGCGTCTCTCCCAGTACAAGTGATCTTTCTTCTCCTCTGGAATGAACTCCCTTTTCCTGCGACAGCTCGTTTTGGGCTTGAAAGGCAATGCAGGAAGTTGGTGACCCAAAAGGTCTCGATTAGTTCCCTGTAAGGCCACTGCAAACACCAGGGCATCGTCTCCAGTGTAAGACTCAGACGAGTCCACCTCTTGCTTGATTGATTGCATATCGTCAGTGTTTAATGATAATCATGAGCTCATAGGATGTTCGCTGCAACATCATTGCATCCAACAGCCAAAACAGAGGATATCCATTTCTGTCTGTCAAATCAAAAGAGAAGTAAGATAATGTTAGATATTATTAAATTTCCCAACCTGACAAACACATACAATCTGTTTATATTATGTGCCAATAACTTAATAACCTTGGGCATTACGGTTTCCTTATATGGCAACAACCTATTACAGTAAGTATTTCATAATTCACGGATCACATGGGCGGGATGTTGTAAGAGTAATTTGTGTTACAACAGTATCCACTGTTCATTTTTTATTAATCATCACATTGTTACACTAATATCTGTGACCAAGCAGCAACGAGGAAGTCAAGTCTCTATGTAGAAAGCTTAATTAGGTTATATAGCCTATGACCTATTATGAGCTTAGAATGAGTAAACTAGATCTCCAAATAATTACAACGTCAACTAAATTAGAACTGATATAGGACAATTGCCTGTTAATTATGCATGACTATAAAAGCCAACTGATATTGTTTGACCTCTCTAATGTTGCTCCCACACATCCAAAAGAAGAAGAGAACAAAGGATACATACAGCTGTAGTTCTAACACGTGGCCCTGCTCCTGCAAACGCTAAGACACACCCCAGACCCAACGATTCAAAATCAGAGTAATGCCGAGGTTGTGTTGTGAAACACGTCTTTAATCTGTTTACAAATTTGCCCTAGGGTATACTCAAGAAAACAATGTTTGAATGTACCCTATAACAAAGCATTTGAAAACATCGGACAGTTATGAGACAATTTTAGCCCTATAAATTGCCTAAACTTAGTTTGAATTGAATTATTCAACTACTTGCGAATTGTTGCAGAGATATTTGTTCACAAATCACTGCTCGTTCTCTTTTGTCTTTTGTAACAGCAACAACATGACATCAAGACTAAATTTGGATCACACGTGATATAAATGGATGGTTGCATTGCCGCAACGTGAGCAGGGTGTGCGAGAGGAAAGGGGCACCCGGAGTTCACGGTCGTTTCAGCGTCAGCCATTGACGCGGTCACAGCGCAACGGCGTGCCAGCGGTGCCCAGTCAACACGTCCTATTGCCCCAGATTCCTTCATTGTGTCGGGATTACACAATAAATGGAGCCCCCACCTCCATCCCCGGGAAGCCGAAAGCCAGCAGTTTCTATATGCTGCAGACATTATGCAATCGCCTGCGAGGCAATATGTTGGCTACTCGTCTCTAACTTTATGGCTGTAACTATAACAAAATACAGTAAATGAAATTGGTCAAATTAGTAATTAACGCGCGTACCAAGACAATGTGGGCATTCACCCTGTTACATGACATCATGGCTTGCTTACTCATGACACAGTCGACTGAAGCTGGGGTTTATCTACGCCCTACAAAAAGACAACTGAAAAGTACAATAAACTATACTAGATAGTTAGGCTATATGTTGGCGTGGCCTACTGTAAGACCGTGAGCTTTATTATACCCAGTACATGCAGTACAAGCTACTATTAGGTGCTACTATTACATTAGGCCGAGAACATTTGGGTTACGACACTGTGTTGCAATTCACAAATTCAGCTCCGGGCGGCCTACGTGCCTTAATAACATTCAACACTTGTCTCCTATATCGGCCATTTCCCTGTGAGCAGATGAGCTCCGCGGAACTATAATTACTTAATAACTAATGCACAATTACACACCCGCGAATAATTACATAGGCTGCTACTGTCTCATTGCCTTGTCTCAAAATGCCATATGAATCATTTTACAGGCAATATAAAGTTGTAAACATTACACGAAATACAACCCTGCATATCCCAGTTCACATAAACACCTCGCGGATCCCAAGAAAGCCTCCTATCACCAGCGGCGAGGATAAGATAGGCTTAATGCAGTTAACCACAAATCAAATCAGTAACCTACCTTTTCTACAACTTGAGTTGAGAGACCGACTATGCTGACCACCGAATCGGACGCGGGTCTGAAGTGGAGATCATCCATGAGCTTATGGAGAAATAATACTGTAGACAAAAATCATACAAGTTACGAAGTCTCTCCACCCTCGCCTTTTTCCTCACAAGGTGGCCACTGACTCATGGATCTGTGTTAGTAGGTCACTGGTTAAGTGTATTGGCAGCGTGCGCTGAGTGACAGCATGCGCAACCAATGAGGGGTAGGCATTTTCCAATTTGAGCCAATGAAGGTCGCCTTTAGCAGACAACCCACGTCTCATCTAAAATTCATGTCGTCATCCACTGTACGTGTGCTGCGTTCAGGTACATGGGATCACAGAACTCAATAATCAACTTGCTTTATTTATGGCTACTATCCCTTCCTAAAAGTATTCAGATATTGGCATAAGTTCGTATCCTGCAGGGGGTTAGGATTCGGAGTAGCCTACATTTTTCATCAACCAACTTTGCATTTCGCGTTTTAGGCTACATTCAGCCTAATATCCTCTAGGGGTCCCCACTGCCTAACTATTCAGGCTTTTGAGTGACTTGTGATGTTGGCTTCTAGACCTAGGCTACAGTATCTGTTTTGTTTTGATATTTTTTACGATACTAGCATATAATTAATCTATTCACATTATGGTATATGGTTACTAGGTATATACTCTGTGAGGTCTGTAGTCAGCCTGATTTGGGTTATGTTGTCTGCTAAAACCAGCATGTGTGTATGTACGTGCACGTGAGTTTATAAGCAATCTATACGTGAAATTTTCATTTGGGTTGTTTATACAGACAATTGCTGAATTGTCTTACTCCGATGGAAACAAGGAGCAATTGTTACACAAAAAAGATCTCCAACATCTAGCAAAAACAAGCATAAAAAAGTCTTTATTGAATACTCCATGTACATGGAAGTACACAATAAAATATCATTTTATAAAGCTGGTAGTGATGCTACAAGCTTACAAAATTAATCTATAGAAAAACGTTCAGACAAAAGTACATTCGTTTATGCAATTCTGTACAGTTCATTGTAGATGCATGTCTCAGCTTTGTGTGAGAAATCCTGTGGTCTACATTCTTTTTTTTTTCTTTTCCTCCACTTCAGAAAATAATATTAAATAGTCTCATCCAAATATTTGAAGTTCAGCCACCAGTGAGCACAAAGTCACATCTGAGAAGTCATATAAGTGATTAGGATTTGGAAGTACATAATTTTGTTAGTTGCACAGCAACATGAATTGATATTTATACATGATCAGAGCAACAAAGTATTCCATTTGATAAAAGCATGACATGAAAGCTGGAGTTACAAATATTCATTACTTTACAGTCCCATCAAGAAATGCTAAAGAACATTAATAATTTGCAAATCAGTTCTATTCACTTCATGTTATATTTTCTTCATATTAGCCTACTGTTTCCTTATGAGTCAGACAAGTGGATGACTAGCTCTTCAGTCTGTGGCTCACTGTCCCCAAGTAACTCTGTCTCTGGCACTGATAAGTCCTCGTGATGCTCCGGTTCCTCCTGTGAAGCTCCATCCACTAAGTCCTCATGGTTTGCCTTGTCCTCGTTTAACAGAGCAGCGCGTTCTGTGGCTGAAGTGTTGGAGGGAGCAGTGGTGACATAACCTGTAGAAGTAGATCCACTGCCACTGTGGTGAGAACCAGCTTTAGCCACCATCTGAGGCGGGTGGTGCATCTGCTGGTGGGGCATGGCCATGGGAATTTGCATGGGATAAAAGTTCTGCATGTAAGGGTAGGCTGGCATTGGGTGGTATCCATTAACTGGGATATAGAGCTGTGGGGGAACCATGGGCCGATGCATCTGACCCTTCATTGGCACAAACTGCGGCTGGTGGAAGGGGGAGGAGGTCTTTTTGGGACTGGCATATCTTGAGGCATTGGCTGTGCCCATGCTAATGTTGCTGACAGGGCTGGTGCTCAAGGAGCTGGTCTGGGTGGTGTTGCTGTTGCCAGAGGTAGGAGCAGAACTGTTGTAGCTGGTCAGGTTTTCCCAGGAGCGCAGACGGGTGTAAATATCTTTGAAACGAGGCCTTCTTACAGGAAACTCACTCCAGCACTCCAGCATTAGCGTGTAAACCCAGGATGGGCAATCATCTGGGCAGGGCAGCAGCTGGTGGTTACGAACCATTTCAATGACATCCTGGTTGGAGTAGCCACAGTATGGCTGCAGACCATAGCTGTAGATCTCCCACAAAAGAACGCCATATGACCAGATGTCTGAGTCTGTGGTGAACTTGCCATACATTATAGCCTCTGGAGACATCCAACGGATAGGGAAATGATTTCCCATCAGATTGTAGTAATCAGCTGAGTATACATCTCCATAGAGACCCAGATCCAAGATTTTGATGCTGAGTTTGTCAGAGACAAGAATGTTTCGAGCTGCAAGATCTTTGTGCACAACCTGTTGATTTGAGAGATACTCCATGCCAGCAGCTATCTGAGTAATGATATGAAGAAAGTCTGTCTGCTCCAGTGTGGATTTCACGGTCTTGCCATCATCTGAGCTGCCAACATCTGAGTTAGGGGAACGCATAACCAAGTATTTGTGGAGGTCTCCCATGCTAGAGAAGGAGAAGACCATGCTCATTGGCTGGTCTTTGGTCACTACTCCTAACAGACAAACAATGTTCTGGTGCTGCAGGTGAGAGCGTCGCATGGCTTCATGTCGAAACTCCTCACATATTGAGGAGTCAGCTTTATCCTTCAAAGTTTTAATGGCCACCACTTGAGTCTGCTCTCCAGGTGCAGTGCCATACAGCTGACCTTTGTAAACTTTTCCAAAGCGGTCCTCGCCAAGCTCCTCCATGAACCGAAGGGCTGACATGTTGATCTCTCTCAGTTTGGCCTGCATAGCAAAGTAAAGTCACTGTTACTGTTCATTTGATTTGATAAAATATTATGTTATTCAAGGAGGTAATCTTTTTCAGAGTGGGGGTGTTACCTGGTGTTTTTGCTGAACAAGTAGAGAGAGTTCTACATCTTGGGTGGGCGAACTGTTGAGTTGGCAACGAGATGGTGTGTCACTGGATGCCTTTTGCTTATTGCGACACATGCAAACCAGAAAGAACAGGCAAGCGACAACCAGTGGGATGGCAACAGCAGGGATAAGGATAAGGAGAATCTCCTTTCTAGGGTTCTCTGGAGGTTCTACACAAAAGAAACACAGTCATAAATCCCAGACTTTCCTTTTTTACATTTTGTTCATTGTACTTGATTTTGTTCACAGTTGTACAACATTCATGATGGCATTTCAATGTTTTCGATTTTGTATTTGCTGAAAAATTGTCATGTGGCCTCTTGAGCCCTAGATTTATATATGACCAGGAGTGTGATTAAAAAAAAAAAAAAAGAAGACAAGTAAGTACAGAGCAGTGGGCAGAAATGGAAGGTAGGCGAAAATAAAAATTTTCTGCGTCCTCAACAATGAGGAAACACTGTTATACATACTTAATAGCTAAGGACCATAGATATATTTTAAAGGTATATTTCTTTGCTGTAGTAAAGTAATAATGAACAAAAAATTACTTACGGCAAGCATGAATGTCACACAGGCCCACCCGGATCTGTGGGTCTAGTGTAAAGCACCAGGGGGCCTCCATTTGCCCTCCAGGATTTCGACAGAAATTGTGTCCTCCCCAGAGCTCAGGGTAGTCCTGAGAGAGGTGATGACTGTGTGGGTACTGCGCAGTCCAGGACTGGCAATGGTGCCCAGACCTTGTCACACTCACTGTGCCTCTGTATTCAGCTCCGCTTCCATTGTAACAGCTGTGGTCTGAAGGAGTGTCTGCAAAATGAAAATATCTTCTACATCTATGGCCAAATCTGACTCAAATGTAGAGACTGGAAATTTAAACTTACATGATCCCAGTTTTTCAGATGGGACTCCAATTCTCATGCAAGAGGAGGCTTCAGGCGTACCGGGCCGTGGCAGCAGGTGGCAGTTGGGTAGCTGAAGCTGCATTAATATCATGGGGTTTGACCTGGCTATAGTATACTCTGCATGACAGGTCATTTTCCAAAGCCTCACATTCATCTCTACAGAGCTGGCGTTTACGAGGCCCACGGGAGCCTTCATCACATAGAGGGAAGACATAGTAGCAAAAAGAAGGGATGGCAAAATTGGAGCACTGATCTGATAGGTGAGTGGAGGTGCCAATCATTGTGAAGGCAGCTAGAAAAGCATTCAGAAACAGATGTAATTAATAAAGTTGTTTTTCTGTCCCCATGCATGCGAATAGATTGGCTTTTCATACCTGTGATACGATTTTCACTCTCCCCCTGGGTCTGCAGGGACTCCACGTAGATGCTCTGGTTCCCAATGAATCGCGCACAAGCTATGCCTCGATATGGCTGGCAGAAACCTTTTTCAGTATACCTACAAGACAGAAGTGAGTGGAATATTTAATTAACTATTAAAAGACTTTATTTTATATAAAGAAAGCAAAGTAGCAGCAAGGATTAGTGCAATATAAACAACATAAGTAACATGAAATTAAAAGAAAGCACAGAGGACACAGACATAAAAAGGTCCCAGCTTTAGGAATCTGTATAGATTAAATCCACTAAGATCAGCTTGTTTTTACACTTCCCTCTCTGCTGAGTTCGTCTATGTGCTCTGTTTGTGCAAAGCTTACTTCTCAGGCCTGACTTAAGACCTAATCCACTAAACAAACAGCCACAGCTTAAAAGAAGGAGAGATATCTGCACCATTCAGCATTTCTATCTTGTGAATGCAAATTTTAGGGAGGTGGCTTTATTTATTTTGTGTCTTTTCACTTGCTACAATCAAATTTGCCTGGCCATGGTAATTACATTGAGAAAGCTAGAAAACAGGACAACAGAGACTCAGAACTTAGGAAAAAGGGTGTAACTACTCCTTACACGGCTGGTGTGTCTGAAAAGCTACAAAGGATTTTCAGACAGCATGAAATCCCAGTCTATTTCAAACCTACAAACACTTACAGAAACCCAAAGGAAAAAAAAAAAAGAGCCACAAACAAAGCAATGTGGTCTACTCCATTCAGTGTAGCGAGCACTGCAACACCAGCATGAGAGAAGCACGGGACCCCAGTCCAACATACATCTCCATCTCAAAGCCACTAACCACTCCTATGAGGACAGTGAGGTACAGATCTTTGCCAGAGAAAAGAAATAGTTTGAGAAGGGAGGCTATTGTTAGGAAAGACAATGCATCTTTGAACAGAAATAGGGGTCTTAGATGTCATCTATATCCTATTTTCAACTCCATCCTCAGACCTAAATCAAAACAAGGAAAACAATAGTGACAATCTGTATTCTAATAGGTGTGAGAGCACCCATCAGGGGCCTGATAGGCTAATATGACAGGCACAGTTCATACTTAGTTCAGTTCAATAGACCAGCTAACAAACAGAAACTGTAAACAAGTAGGAGTGTTAATTTGTAGTTAGCTTCTCCCTTCCATGCAGAGATAAGGCAGTGTCCACCGGCAATCTGATCAGAACCGAAGTAGCTGCTTGGATAAGCTGCGATGCGTCTTCACGCAAAAAAACATTTGTCCAGTTGACATAATTGAATTTTTCTTTTGCTATGTATCTTACCTGAACGACTGAGGGATTACACTGATGCTCACTTGTATTTCACACCATTGCTGACATTGCCTGCTAATTGAGTTAAAAATAAATAGTCAAGCAGTGGTGTTTCAAAATTACATTTAGAAATTAACCTTAAATGAACAATCTCTTCTTGATTGTTAGGAGGCTTAACTCAATAAAACTAAAAATATAAACTATATGGAAAAGAGATCCAGCAGCAAACCCTAATTACATTATCAAACAGTTTTCTGCAATAGCTAATCTATATTCAGAATTAGAACCAAAAAATGTATTACTTTCAATATATATTCTCATGGAAGGTGTTTGCTCAAACAAGACTCAAGTGAACCTGACCAGAAAGGGTCTTTGTTTATAGAACTGGTCCCTCCATGAACTGCTGCTGCAGCCTCCTCTCAGCTCCAGTGTAGTTTGTGTATAGGCCACAGCTGTTTAGACATTGGTTCTGCTCTGTGTTATGTTAAAGCTTCTTTAGTACTTTATAGATAATTTATCTCAAGATGGATTTTTTCCACCCATCCAAACACTGGGCTGAGGATTCAGGATTCATTATGCTGAAGAATATAATGAATATAATACACTATATAAGGTAAACTTAAATGTATGCAGGCCTCAGTGATTATACAGACATCAATTTGGATAGCTTGGTTATGGCTTTTGAATAGTGAGCTAAAACATTGTTCACATGACCTTTGAAACCTTTTCTATCATTGACCATTCCTGGACAAATGAGGGAATACTTTACAACATTACAAAAATAAAAGTTTAATTTGTTGATTTGTCATAATATAGGCACATTACTTAAAACAGGGACAATGTAACCCTGATGACATACATACAATGCAATGTATTCCTCAACTGAAGATAAGAAACCTGGAAGGGGCCATAAAACATAGTTGATGAGATAAGCATCCAAAAAGAAACAATTTGAAGCAGAGGACATGAATCAGCAGAGTTTCCAGTTCAAAGCAGGCCTGTCCAAATCGCAGATGGGAGAGAGCCTGACTTTAGTGAGCTATGCCACAAGAGGAAAAGCTAACTGTCCACTATCTCCTCACAACTGTAGCATCTGTCATAGCAGAGCAACACATCTTCAGTCAGGTCTAATTGTCAGAGTCAGACACTGAAGGTATGACTGCTAGTTCACAAGCCTATACATGCCTGTTTTTACTTTGGGTAGGCAAACATTATACAAGAAATGTGCTGTGTTTAAGATAGGAGACAGAGCCCTCCGAATTAAGAATAAATAGTACAACTGAGATGAGAGTAAGAAGGTGACTCTGCAGAACATTTTTTTTAACCTCTTGCATAATTTACACATTCATTACAAACACTGTTTTCACCATATTCATTATAAAGCAAACTGTTAAAAAAATTTTAGGTGGAGGCTCTGCCGCCTTCTTGTCTCAATGGAGATGTTTCTGCCTTGTCTGGAATGTTCTACAGAGTGGGATAATACATGTGGAGACATGGAGACAAGCAGGTGACACCACCAGTCCAAATTACATGTCAGATCTATGGAGAGGCTATCTGAGTCACAGTAAGAATGTATATGCTACTACTTACGATTCATCTGGTCCATGAGTGGGCATGAGGCCTGTGGATAAAAAATAAATAAATACATTTATATATTTAAAATAAAATAATAATAAAATAAATACATTTACAATCACTTTCAGCCCTGATTTTAGAGTAACACTAGTAATTGGTGAGTTGTGGATTCTTGAACATAATCATAAATGCACATGGGGGCAAAAGGAACTTTTTCCTATTGATAACATTGTATTTTGCAATGAAACATCCATAAGGAAAATTCATAAATTCTTAACCTGACCATTTATATTTGTGTGAACATCAGAACTCATTGTATTATCACAAAAAAATCTTTTCATATTCCCATACCATATTTATAATGGTTGCCCGAGATCTGTATTAAATATTATTAGACTATGTGAAGTCACCAAGCAATACATACCAAGCTTAACAAAGAGGACCCCAGTTGCGGTGATGGTCTTTTGTGTGTTAGATGCCACACACTGGTAGTAGCCTGTGTCTGTGGTGTCTAGGTCTTGAATTCGAAGCTTGGATCCAGACTCTGTTTTTCGGATGCTGATGCGGCCCTGCTCTTGGACCACCGGAGCGTCATTCTTCAACCAGCGGATAGTGGGGCGTGGGTTCCCTGCCACTTTACATTGCAGTGTCGCTGTCTGACCCTGGAAGTGGGTGATGTTGTTGACTGGCTCCAAGAATTCAAGATAATAACCTGCAATAGAAAAAATAAAATCTGAATTGTGAGGTAACTGTCACACTGATTTACATTTACATTCATTCAAGTTTAGCATATAGTAGAGTTGATTGTAGGTTTAAGGAAAAGACTTGAGTTGATAGCATACTCAATTCCACAATCATAACACAATTTTTGATACAACATTCCACAATCATAACCCAATTTTTGATACAACATAATAGAGATAATTGTAGTCTTTCTAATGTTAATCATGTATTCCAATATTTTTTCTAGTTTTGATACTAGTTAAGTTGAAGTATTGGTTAGTATCTCAGTATGGATTTTATAATAACCCAAATATTTGCAACTTCGACTTCCCGCAACAATTTACAATTCTATTATTGTTTTTTGGGCAAATAAATAGACAAATCCAGAGTAAGAAGTGCTAATAGGTATAATGAAAAGAATTGTACAACTTTAACATCGCACAAACATTTTTTCCACTTCAGCCATGTCAAATGCCTGTGGGCTGTACTCAAAGGAAACCAGAGCCAGAATATGTTGATATTTCAACCCACTTGGCTGCCTCAAACATAAACAATCGTATCTAAGGGGCTGTGAGCTTTAATGCCATATTTGAATCTTGACAAAAATGATTATGTAGCCTCTTTTGAGATGTCCTATAGAGAGACAAACAAACTAGTGAACATGTGGTGAAATCATTGAACACTCCAATGTCCTGACAACTGGAAACTCGCTCTGCCAAAGCCTCTACTCAACTCAATGTGTAATTATTTCGAAGCTGATGAGGATCGGTTCTCTTTAGAAATGAGGTATTGTAACATTAGGCTCACATGCCTTTGTTTAGCTTAGTTGAATTTGATGATGATAGTAATGATGATAACAATTACCATGTATTTTTGTAGATGAAATCTTTGGGAATCCAGGAACAATTTGTGTGAAAAAGTTACTGCTTTGATTTGTCATAGGTGCACACCAAGGAACATTAGAGTGATGAAACATTTTAGTTTTTGGTTACTTGTTCCATAAAACTATTTAATCCTGCCAGTTTGAAATGACTGCTCGTGCATTTGTATCATCAGCCTTTCTATTTTACACAAGCTCGTCTCCTTAAGTCATTTGTCAGTGTCTAATATTATAAACAACAGCTCTGGGATTCAAAAAGCCCCCAGGCTGTTTCCTAGACTTCACAGGTACATCCATTATTGCAGAGAGCTCAGTAAATGCTAAGTAAAAGTAGTAAATGTGTTATCCACAAGGAAGGAGACATTAATAAGAAGTGACGGTCCAAGGCCTGTCTGTAGCCGTATCTGTCTTGGGGAGAACAGAACACTAAGCAGACATTCATGTGGACATATTTCCTCCTCTCTCCACCACAGATTGTGTCTGCTTTGGAAAATGTGAAGATAGAGGATGTTTAGACTTTAGAATGAAACATATGCTTCTTTGTCAACCGTTGTGAATATGTATGATTAATTACCTTATGGAAGTATAGGGGAAATGTCGGCATGACTGTGTCTAAGGCTTTGGGTGGTCTTGTTCCCCTGTTTAAAATGTATAAATTTGAAGAGAGTCGTCTGGAGCTTGAGTTAACCATTTTAAACTCCACATGCAGTGGCTTGTTCACACGTCAGAGATGGACTGTGATGAACATGACTAAAAGCAAGTCACAAGAGTCAGAGACAGTGCCCTGAGTCATCTGGTGTGTTGAGCTATTAGCTCAGTGTTCTAATATAATTGGACATTTACTGCAGCATATTGTTCTGATCTATAACATGTATGATGTAAAGGTATATGAGCATTTATACATATATTCTGTATATAGAACCTTCCTTAAAATCAAGCCCACACAAAAGGTCAAGTAATGAGGTTTGTCACATGTATCTTAAAATAAATGATCTCTTAGTGTTACATTTTCTCGCAGATGATGCTGTACCCAAACATTGTGATGTCTCCCACATAATCTCAATGGCTCCAAAACTAATCGACTTCCAAGAACTGATTAAGGACCCAGGCTGCAGTGAGTGTTGCTGACAGGAGATGAAATGAGACTGGATAAATGGACTTAAGTAATGGAAAAAGAAAATCCACAAGCTCAGAAAGAAAAAAACAAACAAAGGTGAAAACAGAACAAATGTTAACAGGCCACTGTAGAGTGGCCTCTCATAGGAAAATACTCAGCCCTGTTTCCTATCTCAACTCAACCTAAGTCACTGGCTACTCACCAACTCTTAATTTGAACAATTCCTCTTTAAACAGAGTCAGACACAGACAAACAGTGAGTTTGTATTAAAAATTATACCTTCTTTCTGCTATTTTTCACCAAAAAGTTAATTAACAAAATGACATGTCACAGAGGTGTACTATTTCAGCATATATATTTGTTTACACCTGATTTAGACTACAGCTCATTTTAAAGCTAAGCAGGTTCTAAAAAGTTTTGAACGGACATCTGGCTTGAGGTGGAGCAATGTCTGATCGTTTTGACAAAAGAAATTTCAAGTATGGTTACTGCTAGCAGAGTGTATTACTGTATAAGGGCAATAGTTTGCATTTGAGTGAGTGTCTAATAAACACAGAGACAGCTGAGTACCCTGCTTTTAGTGCCGTCCTGAACCTCGGCCAAGTTTGTGAATTTATGTAATGGAAAATGAGCAATGTAATCCTGGTTAGTCTTCATCAGAGGGAAGTTACTGCACTGCCGGATACACAAAAAAGAGGTCACCACCATGGTCTGTAATTATCAGGTTTAACTTTGTGCATGTACTATAGCTCTGGGGAGGGGCTGCAACAAGCTAAACATATTGCCATTTATCCAGGCACAAACAAATCCCTTGACCTATTGAGGCCTGATTCATTTTTAAGGAGGGATTTACAAAGTTAAAGGTGCACTACACTATTTATTAAACCTACCCATCTTGCATTTATAACAAGTGTGTTTATTGCTCAAAAATCCCGAAAAACACATGTATTCTTATTGGAAGCGGGGCTGCTTCTCCACAGATCTGTCCTGTAACATGGATTGATCATGTCACCTTCTTGTCTTTATGGGAAATGATATGAAATATGGTATGATATGAAATGATGAAAGTTAAGTGACTCAGTGATGAACATTCAAGGCAAAGAAATAACACCTCCATCGAGACAGGCAAGTGGCAGACCTTTCTCCAGAAAAATTATATAGTGCACCTTTAAAACATAAACATATAACAGATATGACATGTAATTCTTATCAATCAAGTGTCTCCTTGTGCAAAGTAACACAAGCCAAAGACAGCATGCATCCTGGACCCACTTCCAGTGATCCACAGGGATGCATGGTCAAAAGCCAAACTACTTTGAGCTTAGTAAAAGACTTTTGTAAAGGCCCCACTGTCTCAGATATCAAGGCTGAAGTGCTTGATTGATTAGTACTATCCCCAGGAGATAGAGGTAATGAAAAGCAGCCTTCTCTCAAAGCTAGTGCTCTGGCACTGCTCCCAATGCATGCTCCGCTTTAAACCAATCGTGTATTTGTCCAAGAAATGAGAGAGGAAGAGGTGCAGGAGAATGACAGACAAAATAGTGGGGTCACGGTTAACAACTCTCCCCAAAATGGCTATCCTTTTGTCAATCATAGCTAAAATATGTGACATGGTTGTGGGGCAAAAACTGTGCGATGGTGTATTTAAATGCTGATGAGAAGTGACATGTGAGATATAAGGTGTGCAAAAGCTGCTGTGGGAAAATCAAAGCCACAAAACACACATGAGGTGAAGGTTAGAGACCGTGTGAAAAACACCAGTTGACTCCTCTGCTGGCTGTGAACACTGCTGTCTGTAGAGTAGTTTGAGGACTGTCTGCACAATGACACAGGTGCGAACACATCCTACACATAGAGAGGCAGGGACTCCTCCTAATAGAGTTGTACAGTATATTGCAATGTAATAAAATCAAATTGCCAATTATCAAATTGTAAAGGCTGCAAATATATAGCAAAATATCATGTCTTTTTAAGAAAATCCTTTAGATAAAACCTCTATATTTTTGGACAGGAAGGCAAGGCAAACCTGTCTGGTGCACTCCTGTCAGTGCCAAGTGCCAGCATGGTCTTCAGCTGGGAGCCATTCGTCACTGATTGGCCCCTATAATCTCCACAACATCTGAGGACGGTGGGGCAGAGGACAGGGACGCCCTGCCACCCCCTGAAGCAGGACTTAATTCCAAGGAAATCCTAGTGGGTTCTTTGTCCCCAGGCTTTGTCGTTTCTTCTCAGCTAGAGCCAGAATCTAGAGCATTTTCTGCCTCCAGGGCAAAATCTTTGGGAGTTTTCTGAAGTTTCACTGTTGTAAAAAATCTGAAATCTCTTATCTGAAAAATTTACAAATCCATGACATCCAACTTTAACTGGGTAGATTAACCAGATTGATGCTTTCCACCCATTAGCCCTATGCTCTGCTACTAGATTAGCATACCGCTCTCTTTTTTGATTGGAGTTCAACTTTTGATTTTATTTTTTAATAGAATGATTGTCGTGATTGGTAGTGATTTTCAATTATCCATGACTTAATCCATCCAGCTACATGGCATTACAAACCACTTTATTAGGACTGGCTCTAAACCTCTATTAGTATGGTAGTGTTTGTAGCTAGAAGGCTGTTTTGGATACAAAGGCAAACATTAAACTAGATTTAAATATTTATAAGATTTTAATATAAAATTTACATACTGAAACCTTGGCATATAGTAAACTAGTTTTGCTCATGACGAGACATACTGTTTACTGCTCTACAGTCAAAACTAAAACTCCTAAATTGTACCATTTCATTTCCTCAGCTGGTACTAAACAGACTCTGTTGCACCAGCGGTGAAGCTTCCCCTTCAATTATGGCATGATTGATGTTCAAGAGCTTGGAGAATGAACACCCACTGTGCTGTGTGCTGCTGAAACTCTACCTGACGTTATGATTGGAGGACAACTGACAACAGCTTACACATATATAACCATTATGGATCTTTAACAGCTGTATTTTGTAGGGAAACAGGGTATTTGTCCAGAGTAGTTTTCTGTCATAGATAAATATACGTTGCTGGCGCTGGTGAGTATTAGTGGTAACAGAACAGTGTCTGTGTGGGACCAAACCCAAATAAACAGAGCATGTTCGTGAAAACGCAGAAACGTGTGGCTCAGTGTGTGCTGCTGCTGTTGGGAAAAACAATGGGGCTTTCTGTGGCACCTACCTCAGGGGAGCTTTTGGACATACACATACATAATGAGGCTTATTTTAAATGACTGTTTGAGGGTATTTATACTGTCAAACATATTTTTTCTTATGGCTCCTAGTTGATAGATCTAATAAAAGATTACCTTATAGTTTGTACATTATTTTTATATAAATAAAGTTTAGGGCTGAGCTTTTTGAGCTGACTTTAAGGAGGTATGACATGTGATTCGCTAGCTAAAAGATAAAAGCATGTAGGCTCAGTCCAAAACTGACTCACACATATTCACTCATACACACATGCAAAGATACAATGAAATGCAGCTTGCTAAAGCATGTGGGGTTCAAGCATGATCTCATTTTAAGAATGTAATTACTGAGTGAACAACTTTCTGTTGACAAGTTATAGCATAAATGGAAATGGTTAATGATCAAGTGTTACCTTCAGCTGTAGGTGCTGCTCCACTCTGGGCCTCGGCCAAACCCTCAGGCTCCACTGACAGACCCAGATCAGCTGCAAAGACAGTCAGCAGTCAGTGAATGTAAATGTATGCAGGACACTGATAAAGTATTGAACTAACACATGAACAACATCCAATCCATGTACGTGTGCTTATGTGTGTATCCGTGACTGTGCTCTACATTGCTGTGAAGATCTTTGGGAGTCTTGAAAAACGCTATATAAGCAGAAGGTATTATTTTTATTATTATTATTACAAAAACCCCTATAAAGATTTTATAGACTTTTATTACACATTTATTGGAATACTATGATCTTTGAAATCTCTTTGGATACAATAATAATGCTCAATGCACATTCCTGTACTGTAGTTTATGAGGAGTAAGTGTAATAGATACTCTGACTGTTCTATTTGATTGGGGCTGGCTCTCCCTGAAAGCTAATCAGGACCAGGCGCTTGTCAATGGACACAACGTATGCATCGACTATTAGGTCGACTTGGCATAGGCTCCTGTCTTCTCTGTGGTACAGCCCATGTGCCCCACAGATGTGGGTGATGGAGGAAATTGGTGGTGCCAAAGATGTGAGTGAACAAAACCATATGACATTCCATGCAGTAGCCACACTTCCCTCTACGCGACTATACTTCTATATCACATGTTGATCATGCTCCAGTCCTGACCTGTCCAACATATCTCTCAGAAACATTACATAGTATTAGGCAGTATGCATGGCCAGTCTGTACTTTTAAACTGCCTAACACACAAAAGAATTAGAGAACACCATAGTTTTAGGTCTTCCATTTCCACTGGTACCATCTGTTATAAATCTGTGTGTAAAGCACCATTGAAAACTCAGGCCATAAAAGTAAGACAGTTGTATCTTTCAACATCCTAAAACATGTGCTGAAAAAGTGTCTTTATGAAGGGACTGTAGAAAATATAAATATAGGGCAACAATAGGTCTATCTGCTTTTAATGGTCAATCATACTGACCAATGATTATTAATTACTAAGACTGTTTTTGTATGGTCTGTACAAAGTATTTTTGTAACATTGTAACCAACTATGGCTAATTGGTTTCCAAAATTTCTGGTTCCCTTTTCAGGATTAAAACTACTGTGTACATTTTATTTTATAGTGCCAAAACAACTATGTTCTTGTATGTATCTTTGCTGAGGCACCAGTATTATCAAGGTATATGATTTTAGCCTCATATTCACTATTCGAATCTCAAAATCCAGCTCCTACTATGGTTGGTCCAATAATAAATTACTTTTGAATTACTGAACTTTTCTTATTTCTTAGCAAAACCATTTTATCATTACGCTAATAACCACATGTATTGACTACACGTTAAAACATTTCCTTTGCTTGGGAGTTCATATGCTGCCGCTTTAGCCCAGTCCAAACCAGTCATACTGCCTGCGTCACACTGAGCCAAGATTGATTATAACTATCCACAAACTTGCAAAATGAGGGATTGTTGGGATGCGTTTTGCTCCCTCGCTGAATGCAACTTCTGGTTCATGCATTCCAACTGGCTGCTGCCTGGGCCATGAAAGAGCCCATTGAGAGCTAAGAGGCCAAGCCATGGCTCCATCTACTGGGGTTTGGACTGAGGGCCTTCTGGCACACCTCAGCATGCTCCTTCCCTCTCCTGCTTAAATGTCTGAGAGTGTACAAGCATTTGTCTGGCTCGCACAACTCTACACATCACTGCAGTTTTCTCACACACCTTTCTGCCCCCAAATCTGAACTTTTTAAGGGTTCACCTTTTAGGTTAATCCACCTATCCATACAAAGAAGACAAAAATGGATGTAACGTGTCTGTAATCTAAAGCAACTGAGGAATAAGGGAGAATGACGTTGGCAAAAAGAAATCTCCATGGATAGAAGCGGACAACCACAGGGCAGACTGAAAACTAAACCAGAGCTGCCCCTTTCTCCAAAATGGTGAGTGGTTAATAGAGTGCCTTTAAATCCACAAGGAGCCATAATGTTTTTACTTGGACCAGCGCTGTGCTTAAGTTATAACATCAATGTTGCATGAGTTTGTTAGGCTGCGCGTTTTGAGAAGAGGGAAACTGGCGAAGTAAATTATGCATAGTGTTTTATGGACTTTCATTATTAGGGTATATTTATGTTCACTGAGTGGCTGCAAGTCAATGCCATGAAAGAATAGTCTTGTCCTCTCAGTTGTCATTAGACTGCAAGAGACATTCAACAGGAAAAGGTCAAAGTTCAGAACAAATTATTTACTGTTGTGAGAAAAGGCAGCTGCCATTGGGACATTTTTTTAAATATACAGTACAACAAGAAAATTGTGGTGAAAATAAATGTATGTATGGATGAATTTACTAAATAATGTGACCACATACTTATTTATGATTACTGTATTGAAAATGGAAATAAAACCAATTCAATTAGCTATTTTTGTTAATGTATCTAGCATCTCGTTTGCGAGATGCTAGATACATCTCAAGGGGTTTTCCTTATAAATAAATAAAACAAATAAAAGTTTTAGACAATCTTGTCTTTAGATATCTTGTCCCTGGGTTTCACCCATCTTATCTGCTCATCTGCTGCTTGCCTTGCTGCAGCTTACACAGCAGTACACTCTGATAGACATTGTGCTGGGATGGGGCCATGCATGATCGCTCAGGTTGAAAATGTCCAGTTCTGGTCAAGCTTTCTTTTTTCTAGAGATCCAGTTCAGATTCGCTCTGAGCTCTCTCTGTCCGTGCCACCAGTCAGTAGCTCATTTTTCTGCCCTGGGGTAAACACTGGCCCTCCACAATTTCAATGCTAGCAAGTTTCCTTTACACTAAGAAAGCTCATACAGAGATTCTTACATGTCCTTCTGCTGCTTCTTTGTGTAACTTTTTCTAGTGGAGGGCCTGCGACCTGCTTGTGCCATGAAGATGCTTTTGACTAGAATCTACCTACCTTCATGGAGACAAGCAGGTGTTGCAACCAGGCAAAGTTACTAATAAACATTTTTAATGCCATACTGTGGAGCCTTTGAGGCAAAGCAATAACATCTTCACACAGACAAGCAGGTAGTGGAACCCCCAATCTGAAAAATCACGCACCTTTAAGATATTCAGCACTCAGCACATAGACTATTTATTTATGTGAAATTTCCTTTCAGTCAGACTAAACAATATCTCAGCTCGGGCTTGGATAGAGCCACGACTCTCATACAATATCTTTGGATCTATTTTGTACCATCCATTAAAGGCTTTTATGGCATGTGTCCTTGCTATGTCCCACCACGAAGAGGCCCCAGCTATAGCCTGCTACAGGAGACGTTGGGCCGACTGTGTTCAGTTGGGAACACCTTTGGCTACTGTCTGCTTAGACACTGCCCGTCTTGACTTGGCTCCAGTTGAGAGGTGAAAACCAACTATCAATTATATTAATTGTCATAAATGAACAGTGACCAACTAAAAGTAAACTCAGAGTGCAGACAAAGACAAAACATTCCACCTTCCAGACCCAGTTAAGGTCCAATGTCTATATTTAAAGCTTATAGTTTCAGTTATATATTCTTACATGAACCTTACATTGCCAAAGGCTCACCACAAAATCAGTCTCCAGTACATATTATTTAGATTTCCCAGAGGGTTTACGATGTCACACATTTGTCGACAAAGTCGTCTGTAGCTCAATGAAAGCCGAATTTGTCCTTTATTAGTGACAGCTGCGTTCAGATATAGAACCTCAAACTCGCCAACAATGTGATCTGTCTCTAGTGAAAGTATTCATATTTGAGATGGTTTTGCTTTAGGTTTTCATCAAGAAGGTGGTGACAGGCAGTTTGCAAAGTGCTGTGTCCAACCACAATTTAATTAAGTTAAGCAGGGGGCCCTATTACAAAGACCAAATAGCAGTTTTGATCTTTACTCAGAGTAAGCCTTTGATACCAGTTTGAACAGGAATCACAGACGAACAGCAGCCGAATAACTGCCCTACCATAAACTAAATGACAGGCTAATTTTGAGCAGAAGCCCTTTAACCACCACCATGAGCTGGGGCGTCTGGTCAGTTGGGCTACTACGGGGACAGGGGAAAAATGAGAGCGGAAATCCTGAATTATTAGTCTCCCAAGCCAGTTAAGATGGAGATGGAAAGTCTGGATCTGATGTGAAGGAATGTGGTATTACTAAGTCGCCAGGCTGGACTCATCCAAAACTTACCTTGTATTTATTGTGAAAGGACCATGGCTCAGTTATAGCCTGCTGTAAAACAGAAGAGGGTCAATGTGCCGGGGGAAACAGCCTAAATCTACAGCAATTCAATGGGACCAACACAAATTACAGATAACCCAAAATGTGAAAGTTGAAATAGGGGTGAAAATCAGATCTAGTTCATTTTAAACAGTTTGCAGTGGTCCATGTTATTTTTCACTTTTCTAATGTAATCTTAGCATCCTAATTATTCACCAAATAACTTTATAAGCACTTTTCAGAGCTGTCAGAGATCAGAGCTGAGTTTTGCCATCAATAACTTGCTAACAATAACTAGCAAGCTAACAGCGCACCACCTGTTTTTTGGATAATAAAACAGTTTATAATTTGATGCAGATAATGATCTAATTTTGACACTAAGAACTACTACTTTACAGCCACTTGTGGAGTGCTAAAAAAATTTTTTTTATTTCTTGTCAGAAAAGTTTTTGTTCCTTTTGCAAAATGATCCAAAATCCAAACACTTACAGCTGCAAAATGGGGTTAAATTATATAAAAGAAAAATCTCCCACTATTATACTAATTTCAGAAACAGCTGTGCGATGTTTTCTAAAGAGGTTCTCAGATACATTCTTCTCTCTTCAAACAAATGGAGCATGTTACTAAGACTGACCAGTGATAGTGTGGCAAGTGACTGTCCCAAACCAGACAAATAGCTGTTGCGTCTGTTCATTCTATTTAGACTCCCAAATACACATACAATTCTGGACACTTTTCCTGTGCACAAAACAATGGCATTAGGATTAATTAGATTGGAAAATGCCTGCAGTAAAAAGTGCCAAGAGTTGAGTGGAATAAAAAC